TATTTCGTAGTATAATAATTGTCTACCTGTGACGACATTTTATAAAAAGAAGTGTATAGAATTTGAAAGATCAGCGTTCTTTATTTTTTTTTACTTTAGTGCTGATTTTTTAATGTCTATTAGTAAGGTAGGGTAATTTCACAGTTTTGGCAATAATACTTTATGAAACTTTAAAGTATCTTTATAGTTGTGAGATTTAGCAAAGATAAATCAAGATATTTATTAATACAAAATCACATTATTGTTAAATACATTAAAATAATAAACACGTGTATTTTGTGTTTTCTTGTATACGATACGTATACATTGTGTATTTTAATTTTTTAACACAACACGCATCTGTACTGTATTACTTTTTTGCGGTTACTGCGGTGCGTTTTAGCTGATAATATAGAGACGGCTTATGAGAAATATGAAATGGATAAAAAAATGAATATTTATATATTTAAGGGACTTAAGTAAGTAGGCAACGGGTAATGCATTTCACTTAAGTTATAAAAATAACTTAACGCGTAGTGTTTGCGGCTGTGGGATTTATTTTGTTTTACCGGCGATTTGCGTATTTTTATTAAAATCACTAGCAGATTGGTCACAATAACTTTTACCGTGCCTAAAACCTAGTGATCGAATATCAACATGTCAACACGTATACTATAAGAATATTTTGTATATATTTACATGCGGTATAAACTATTTAGTTCATGTATACAGTCAGTAAAATTTGATACACTTGTGACATGTTGATAAAACTCAATCGAATGCTTATTAATTAAGTTAAAATAACTTAATAAGGATTTTGTATACAACTTACTGCTTGCCTTATCTTCGCCGGTGAAATCCGTAGTTAACCTTTGTATTATTTGTTTAATATAACAGTTTGCATCGGCTGATCAATTTATGATCTGATTTTGTTAAAAATAAATATATACATTAACAATTTAAATAGCTAAAAGCTATAAAAATGTCTATATACTAAAAGTAAACATGTATTATTTACAATTTGTATATAAATACAATTGTAAACATTCGGTATAATTTATTACCTACATATATAATCTTAGTTTTTTGGTCAGCTATCGCATTTGTGAATTGAACAATTTTTTAAATGCAGTTTTTTAACCATTTGTGTTTAGAAAACGGCTGATAACTGTTGTAATATATTATTACTATATAAGTTTTTTTTTACTTGTAACAAGCGAGTTAAGTAATAGTTAAGATAGAATAACATAATGTTAAGTCTTGATATAAAATTTTGAAAGACCCTGTTTGTATTATTTGTCCATCCTTAAGTAAAACTTTAGGGCCATTTAGTCGCAATCGATCCATTTATAAATTATAACTAGCGATGCGCCCCGGCTTCACTCGGGTTATTTCTGAATCTCGACAACAGCTCCACCTACCGGCTCCAACTATAACTAAAGCCATTTTGAAGGTAAAGAATTACAGACACAGGAATTTTAAATGTAAATATATGTAATATAAACACGACATACGCTTCGCATACACCTAATCCGTCATCGGCCGAAGTTTGCTCGGGTGATGACGGCCGAACTCGGACGATCGAATCAAACACTTGTAAAACAAAGAGAGCGCTTACACATACACGACCGTCATCGTCCGATAACGCACGAAAACGGCCGACCAACCGTCGAGTCCGAACTTGTTGGGATTTCTCTTTATTAATTTAATCATTTTGTCTTTATTTTGTTTTTTTTCTGTCAGTGTTGTTATCTACCTAAACGACTATGGATATTGAAAATAGAAAAATAGAAAAGAATACCGGCAACGTTCAATGCCGGCACCCTAGGTACACTGTTGCAGTATAAGCACATATACACGTCCGAGTAACTCGTCCGGGTAGTTCTGTCCGCCATCGGCCGACAAAATCGGATTTGGTATACACGTAGTTTCCGTTAAGGAGAATAAGCGGTAGAACCTATATAAATAAATTGAGTAAATAAATACTTAATTGCATATTGTATGTGGGTTTATTTATTTCTGCTTCGCTAATGGGCGTGTCAGTGGAGATGTAAATCATATTTATTCACTAAATTGAATTAATAAGTTTGGTACCTATTGTAAACATTAACTCCCTTGTAAAAAATGAAGTGCTGTAAAGACCAATATATATGTACTAAGCACTAGATTTGGCATTCCGAACACTCACTATGTTCAACTGAACTGTACTGCAATCCGTACAACTGTTATTGTGGCTTCGATATTCATGCAGTGCGGAGCGACGCTAATAATACGAAAATTAAATTAGCACATATGCAAATTAAGCAAAAATTTTAAAAAATGTACTCAACAATACAATCTAAATAAACAATTATTTATTATGACTATTTTCGCGCGTTTATATCAACTGCGCATGCGCGACTCTAGTAACAAAAAAGTGTTTATATAGATGGAGTGACGACCTGGTAAGACATGCAGGAAATCGATGGATGCAGGTGGCTCAGGACCGTGCGTTGTGGTATTTCTCGGAGTGGCCCATGTTCAGCAGTGAACTTGTGAGGGGCTGTAATGATAAAAAGTCGCTAAAGTGGCAACACTGTATCCCGCGCATGCGCGGATACAAAGTAGTGCACATTTTTTTGTCTGGAATAGCTTCTCTAGTACGTAGTACACATAACTCAATGGCTGTAAATGTCTTATCTTCGAATAATTTTATCGACGTAATGTTTATCGATAGGTATATTGTTTATCAATATTTTTATATAATAAGTTAGATCTCTAGAATGATTTATGAAAAATAAATAAAACATAAAATTATAAAATGAGTAAAAAGTAAAACATTTACATGGTGATTGAATGAAAATGCTGATCAGCATATGGAATCACTGTATTATACAAATAACAAGATGTATCTACTATTGTTAGACTGATGACTGCCCCATTAATATAGTGGTTGTAGTAGTATGACTGCTGATCATGAGGTCCTGGGTATGAATCCAGGGTCGGGCAAAAAAAATCAAATATTGAGTTTTACCGTTACGACGACACATCGAAAAGGCTATCGCCGTACTGATCCGAGTTAATACATAATTTCTATAAAAACTTGAAATAACGCCGTCATACGGTCTAAAATAGCGTAGCGCCCGCGCCGATTAAAAGTAGAGATGGGCTGAATATTCGTTTTATATTCGGTATTCGGCATATTCGGCAGCTTTACCGAATATTCGTATTCGGCCGAATAATCGGCTAAATCACCGAACATTCGTTTTCATAGTGTCCAATGTATTGAAATGTACGAATTGAGTAATGCGATGTCTTATACTGTTGAAAGTATATTTTATTTATGGGTTAAATCTACTTGCTCTAGAGTGTACTATACATTTCACAATCATCAACATTCTACACATTTATGTTTTTGAGGCACTGTAGATTTGTTTTCGATTATAGCAAATAGAAAATTGATAACATGTTTTTGGAATCATTCAAAGAAACGTTACATTACATTAGTATATTTCCCTTTGCTTTGGTCGTTAGTTTCTCTAAAATAAGTCCAAATAGTAAATCTCCGGCCGCTCATTTTTATCATATAATTATCAGTTTTCACTAAGAATAAAACAACGAAATACTTTTTTATCACAAGAATTGTCAAAACATAAGCATGTGCCGGCAATTTGCTCAGTACTAGATGATGCAATAACTGCCAGGTGTGGCGGGAAGCGAGAGGCAGGGTCCGGCGCTAATTCCGCGCGCTTTACGGTAACAAGTTTCGACAATTGGTTGGGTCCCGAGGTTATCCTGCCAAATAATGTTCGGTCGAATATTCGGTTCGGTAAAAGTTTTACCGAACATTCGGCCGAATATTCGTATTCGGTGAAATCCATATTCGGCCCATCCCTAATTAAAAGCGCTTAGAAATTGTCAGAATCTTAAAATATATTTTTTAAAAATTATTGATTTAAGTAATCAAAATAATGAGCAAGTAAATTATGAATATTGATGTTATGAATATATTTGAGTGATTCCCAAGCATATAGATTAAGTAATTTCGTTATAATTTCAACTATAGTGACTTTTAGAGGTGTTTTCGCAAATAATTACGATCGTATCAAAATTATGCAATCGTGTTTTTGAACAATCAAATTCAATATAAAGACATGAATTTACCTATATCAAAATTCCACTTTCGTTAATGGTGTCATAGTCTTATACCAACGGTCAGCAACAGGCGGACCGCGGTCCGTAAAGTTTGAACCTCAGACCACCAAATATAGTAATGTATTGTATGTCAAGTATAAATAAATACGTAATATTTTTAAAAATATTTTAAAAATGCCAACAACTGATATGATTTTATAGCTGCAAATGCATTGACATAAACATCGCGCCGATGTCGTCCCGTGCGCTTTGTTCATACGTATGGCTCCCTTTTTTAGGGTATATATATATATATATGTTCTGTGGTATGGCTCCTCAGAAGACCATTTGCAAGCTTGCGACTGATCGCGGCCTAACGAGTCGCCAGGTATTGTTAACACGCGAGCGAGAGCGAGACGGCATGTACTAGCAACAGCGCGCGCGAGTATCGAAATCGGGGGTGTGGGCGTGCGGGCGGGAGGAAAGCAGACTGCTAGTCGGTCACGCCTAGTATCCTCTTAGTATCGTCGCAGCGCAAATCGCTGAGCAACAGTTCATTTGTTTTGTGATTTGTCGAGTTTTCGTTCGTTTAATTAAGTTATATTTTTGTACCTAAGCGCGGTATGGATCCTAAAAAGCGAAAAGTGGACAGTGAAAATAGGAGGTTTCTGGAAGAATGGACTGAACAATATTGTTTTACGCTGCCGGATAGGCCTCAAGCAGTTCCATTGTGCCTTATATGCAATAAAACTGTTGCTATTGTTAAAAGTGGAAATTTGAAGCGACACTATGAAACGACTCATCAGCAATTCCACAAAAACTTTCCTCTTGGCAGTGAGGCTCGTAAAGAAAAACTTCAGGCACATCTCCGTTCTTACAATAAAAGCATAAAATTACTAGTTCGATGCATGAGCGACCAAAAAAAATCCACAGAAGCAGCGTCACGTGTGTGCTGGACGCTTAATAAACACCAGAAACCATTTTCGGATTCTGAGATAGTGAAGGAATGTATGTTGGCAGCAGTCACGGAACTTTTTGAAGAAAAAAAAGATGTTGTCGCTGGAATTCAAAATATTCCATTATCAGCAAGAAGCAATACGCGAAGAACTGAAATTTTAGCTGCTGATATTAAAATCACCCTTTTCGAACTTCTGCAAAAGGCACCTTGCTACGCTATAGCACTTGATGAGTCATGTGACATTGTTGATGATGAACAAATGTCAATTTTTGTCAGATTTCTTGACATTGAGTCTAAAAATTTTAGGGAAGGGTTGCTAACAATATTGCCTCTAAAAAGTAACACTCGAGGAGAAGATTTATTCAAGGTAATTGATGAATTTATTACTAAATCTAACATCAGTTACGATAAAATTGTGTCGCTTTCAACTGACGGGGCCCCAGCAATGATTAGGAAAGAAAAAGGTGTAGTAAAGAGAATTAGGGATAAAAATCCAGGCCTAATATCGTATCAGTGCATAATTCACCAGGCAGCCCTTTGTGGAAAACTTAGCGCTACACTGAAAGAAGTAATGGACAGCTTAGTGAAGTTAGTAAATTTTATGAGATCTCATTCTGCTCTTCAGCACCGACATTTCAAGGAGTTTCTTTTTGAATGTGATTCAGCGTATTCTGACTTACTGCAACACAACAATGTTCGTTGGCTAAGTAAAGGTCAAGTTATTGAACGTTTTTGGCTAATAAAAGAACAAGTAACCTCCTTCTTGCAAAACTTAAATACGCAGGGAGCTAAGAAGCACCTTGAGTTCGTAACAAATAAGCGCAATATGCTGGTTGTGGCTTTTCTAAAAGATATTTTGAAATATTTAAATGCGCTCAGCACAGAGTTACAAGGAAATGGAAAATTAATATGTGATCTGATACAAAGCGTGTCTGCTTTTCGTCGTAAGCTGGATATCTTTGAAAAAGATATTGCAAGACAAGAATTATTCATTTTCCGACAATTTTGGAATATAAAAAGGAGAACTCTGAAGAAGACATTGCAGTGTTTACAACATTATTTTTGGCCGATCTTAGGAACGAATTTCCCACAAGATTCCAAGACTTTGCAGAGATAGGCAAGCTGTCTCTGTTTCTTAAGTCACCCTTTGAAGTTGATGTAGCAGCAGAATGGACAGATGTGGCTGCCAAGTTGTTTGATCTGTCAAAGTCATCACTTCAAATGGAAATAATCGATCTGCAAGAAGATGTGTCTTTGCAAATATATAAAACTGTGTCAACTGAAGAATTTTGGGTCAAACATGTCCCAGTAAAATATGAAAATTGCAAAAAACTTGCTATCAATTTGGCCATTATGTGTGGTTCGAAATACGTATGCGAAACATCTTTTTCAAAGATGAATTTTTTGAAAAACAAATATCGTTTGAAATTAACGGACGCTCACTTAGAAGACACTCTTCGAATTTGCTGTTCTTCTCGAGAACCAAACTATAAAAACCTAGCTCAAGACCGTCGATGCAATTTTTCACATTAATTCTACAATTTTATAATTCAGAATTTTACTCCTACAATAAATAGCTGCCTAACACTTAATTATTATCAGTTGTTTTTTTTCTGGACCTTGTAAAAATTTTCAAGGTTTATCCAGACCCTACCTAAAACTACTTGCCGACCCCTGTCCTATACTATTCGATGAAAGGAGATGCATTTTTTCACGGTGTCGCCTTAAGAAATTCTCAGTAGGTAGCTGCCCGGGTTCAGGAAGTTGGCGGTGTCTTACCCTCGTGCCTCGGAAAGCACGTAAAGCCGTTGATCCTGCGCCTGATCTCTCTTCGGTCGTGTCGATTTACCGTCCCATCGGATTATGAGAGTGAGGGAATAGAGAGTGCACATGTGCTTGCACATACACTTGTGCAGATTACTACAAATAAAGGTCCAAAAATGTATTCGCGTTATATAAGTATCACATTACAAAGTTAAAATCACCACATACCTTTCATCATCCAAAGGAAATTTTGCTAAGCCTTCTCTTGTTATAATGCATATTAGATTTTTCAACAATTTTATAAATGAACAACGACCCCTTTAGCAAAATTAAAAGCAATCTAGTATACACACAATAATCGATGGCAATTTAGATAAATAAAATAAATACAAATGCAACCGTTAGATTTCACATTTGAACCCACTAACCTCTATATATGTACAACATGTAACATAATTAAGGCACATCCTGGAAGTAGTTTGTTCAGAATCGTTTACTGAATCGATTCCTATAATTTTTAATTTAGGTTTAGATTAAAAATTACGGTCACACTAAATCCGTACAGTCAAAAAAAAAACTGAAATGGACCGTAACTTAAGGCAATAAGACTTTTAAAAGTGCAGTTTTATTTGTATTATTACTAATTCTGTCATTTATTTTAAGCAGTTCCTGGATTTGTACTGTGACCACAACATTCTTCCGGAATTAGTATAACTAATTTGATAAATAATCAGTGCATAAAAATGTTTAACTAAAAATTCAGTGTATGTATTATGATTATAACATAATATTCTAATTGGGGTGTCTGAGGGTGGCGTTAATTACGTTACATATTCTATACAAGTACGCATATATATAGAGGTCAGTGTTTGAACCTATTTGATTCAACAATGTCATTGATAGTCATATAACGAAAATAGAAAGAAGAGTTTATCGCCATTTTACTTAGGTTAAAATACAAAAATAAAACAGTAACATGTTATCTAATGTTAATTTTTAACACAAAAAATGTGATTCCGGCCAGGATCGAACTGGCGACCTTCTGCGTGTAAAGCAGATGTGATAACCACTACACCACGGAACCAGTTGTACAACTGTTTGAAAATTTAAAATAAAAATGTATGGAGTAAAAGATCAATTATATAAATATATTTTAAATTTATATTTTATCAAATAAATCTAAGATCCAAAATAATGGATATCAACATAACAATAGTTCTTATAATCAGAGAATATTTATTATTATGTGTGATTCTAAATTTTATTTCAATAATATTTATTATCTCATATTCGCCGTACTTAATGATTTTTTTATTTAAATTTTATAAGAAATATCTATCTCCTAAATATCCCGTACTATCACGCCCTCTCTAGCGGCTGTTATAAGAACTATTATATTATGTAAATAAATTTCTTTGTTTAATGTGACATTTTAGTTTAGTGCCATCTAGTGATTAATATTGCAACCAATGTTCTACTTATCGCCTTAATAATTAAGATTATTAAAATATAATGAATGTGGTATATAAATATTGTATTGTAGTCTTTGGAAGTATTAAAATTTTTCATGTAACTTTAGTAAATGGCTCCTAAAAATTTAGCGAATAAATAGGTAAAAGAAAGTTGTTTTTTTGTTAAACAGGATTTTGGTATATAGATTAAAGTTAGATGCAAATTTTAAAAAGATTCAGTTAACCTTTTATCTAAAAACTAGGTAATTATAAGCATTAGTAACTTGTGTACCCTATATAGAATATTATGATAGAGTACAGATCTTAGTATAAAATATTATTGATGAAACATAAAAAAATACAAAACATCATTATTTTGTCGTGGTAGGAATAAGTATGTGGTTACAGTTCGAGCCTAATACAATAGATGGCGTTGATATATTTTACATGATTACTTTCAATTACATATTTTATAATGAAGTAGTTTTAATAACATCATAATTGCATTTATTAAAATTTAAACCCGTGTAAGTTTTAACCGTTTAACTGTTTGCCAAGTGGCAGCTATAAACCCCTATGAGTCAATCTCTAAGACAGGGCTGTGTTCGGCAGTGAACTTTAGTTATGCTGTAATTGTGGAAAATAGAGTTTAGGCCTAACAGCTCCTTTCATTGCATAAAGGGTAATGAAGCAATTAATCCGCCTCGTTGCTCCCGTGCGTGTTGGTAGACTCCACATTTGTCCTCGCAATATTTTAATTCTTATGCATGCAGGTTTCCTTCCGATATTTTTATTCACCGCCGAGCACATCATAAATCTCCTCACATAAGTACCTACCTAATAGCATTTAAAATTAATTGGTGCCGATGGAGATCGAACCCAGGTTGCTCGCCTAGGTTGTTATGTTTTGCAGAAGTGGGCCATAAGATATAATAATAATAATAATATTGAATACTTATATTTCTAAAAAAAATCAATAAGTATAAATGTTTTTGAGACGCCCCAGAGAGTAATTTCCATACTCGTATCGCTCTTCAACCTATTTTACAATTTTATAGGATTTAAAAGTACTCGTAGTTAGGTACATAATTAATAAGGAAAATGTTTTATATTACATAAACGAAAGTTAAGCTAAATAAACTTTACATACATAACTTGTGAAAGTGTGAGAGATGCGTGCGTGCGTGCATGCGTGCGTGCGTGCGTGCGTGCGTGCGTGCGTGCGTGCGTGCGTGATTTGTGTATGTGGGTGTGTGTGTGAGGGTGTGCGTGTATGTGATAAGAATAATGTGTTTGTTAGTCTGATTCGGTGTACGGATCTTACACAATCTTATATATGAGTTTCTCTGTGTCATCATAACTTTCTGATAAGAAATTAGTTAATATACTTTTACAGTCATATAACCTCTCAGGGTATAAAACAGTGTTATATGTTTTCTAATTAATTTTTTAGTTCTCGATTTATAGCAAACCACAGAAATCAAAAAGACAATATTATTACGATTTCTGTGTAGCGAACCGTGATTTCTTTCGTGATTCCTAACCGATAAGAGTCCACAGATTTTATAAAGTTCATGTGTTGATCTATACGGTTTAAAGTACATTCAAGACTTGATCTTTGACCACTCTCTAAGTGAAGTTTAGTTTTATTTGCACCAGCCCACACAGGAATACAGTAGGTAGTTACCTATGTGAGTACGCACTGTGCAAGGGCAACGTAAATTTTTTTTAATGAAATACTAGACATAACACACCTTAGATTTTTAATAAGAGACTTTATTAAAGATTTAATTAAACAAAGATTGTATAAAAAAGGGTTATTACAATATTAAGGAATCTATGGATAGGTACTATGGTTAAAAATTCCTGGAAATGAGGTGATCGCTACCAAGCTATTTCTACGATTTTCTTCTCGCAATGCATATCCGATTGTAAACAGGTCTTTCTTGCTGGTTCTTCCCAAGATAGAGGTATTTTCTGAACCAGTGGTAAATTAAATATAATTCAACAAGTATTATTTATAATATTGAAACATTGAATATAACAATTTCTATTTCTATATATCTATCTCGCGTAACTACTGTATAATTTACGGCAAGCCCTGAACAACGAACGTGTTGAAAGAAAAAAAGAAATAATACAGCAACCAGATTTACATAGACTATATTGTTCGTGAATCATCACTGATAAGTACATGTAGTAATGATATTTTATCGTATGGTTAATCTTATCTATTGGGATATCAAGGTGGTAGAGCTCTTTATTTGGCTAGGAGTTCGTCTAGGCAGGCACCATCTCAACCTATTCAAGCAGCTGTTCGTGCACTGCTTTGTACCGGTCTGAGAGAGAGAGAGAGAGAGAGAGAGAGAGAAGGAGGGAGAGAGAGAGAGAGACAGTATAGCGAGACATTTATACGGTGTGAAGTACCTACTCCATGTTAGTCTTCATTAGTGAGAACGTATCTGTAGTCTTCTCTTTTTTACTGCAGATGTCCGTAGACTGCAGAAGCCTTGTCTAACTGACCATCAGGTGGACTGTAACTTTTTTTTTTATAGAATAAGGTTGTCAAACGAGCACACTGTACACTTAATGGTAAGTGGATGCTGTGGCCCATAGACATCTACATATATCCTCGAATCAAAATGCAGATGCGGTGTCACCTCTGAGGACTAAGATGGAATGCCTTGTTTCTAGTGAAAAAGGGTCTCAGGATCTCTACACTCACCATACGAAACACAGCAGTATTAAGCTGCTATTTTACGCTGGTATTCTGTGACCGCGTGGTGCTTCCCCGGTCGAGCCGACCTGTTCGTGCTACAAACATAATAAAGGTACAATCCCGTAGCCGACTGCAGATAGCAGCACCAAGCGACGTGTCGTCGCGACACAACTGGTTTCTATATAGTTCTATGAAGCCGTAGTCCGTAGCTAGCGACACGTCGTTTGCCTAGCGGCAGACGACACTGTAGCCCGACCGGCCGACCGCAGATCAGTAGTACCGCCGCCAACGCCTGAGCGACAATACGTTGAATTTTTATTAAAACACGAGTTTCACCGATTCCGAGGAATAGAAACTGATAAATCAGGTGGCCCAATATCCCGCACGGTACGTTCCCTCACTTCCTCAGCATTTCAACATAGGACGTGTGTCTTTTCGTCTTTTCTCTTTGTACTTGTATAATAAAAACAAGTCATCATCATCTTCTTCTTCTTCTAACAAAAGATACAAAATAAATCGCGATCGCTAATTTCAAACACGGACACGGGCTGCTGCCGTCTGCAGTCGGGTTCAGAATCATGACTGCGGCGACACGTCGCCTGCTGCTGCTCCCTGCAGTCGCCTACGGAATTGCACCTTAAAGCTGCAGCGTGGCTCTATCACGTATAAAAATAAACGTTACGTTTGTTACTTCTCTTTTATTTTTAAGCTATTGCATATCTTCTATCGCGGGCCTTGAGCGCGGGGACCGAATCAAGAAATTCCGTAACGAAAAAAAACCTCACGCTCCCCACTCCGACGGGCACGGAGGTGTGGCGTTGAAAGCCGTGCATCGTGTAACGTCGTTTCAGTTCGGCAGATTTCGGCACTCGGCAGACTTCGGCACGGTGTTTGTGTGCGTGCGACTAGACGTATGCGTGTACACTAGCTGCTAACTCAATGATAAAAATTCCTGAATAACCTACATGTATTGTAAGATATTAAAATATTTTAAACAATATTAACTTCTCATTTATTCAATAAGAGAAAAAAAATGTTTTCTTATCGGTCACCACGCTCAAAAAATGTAACTTGATTTAATATCAAAGACTTAACTGCATAAATAAAATAAATAAATAATTATAATTGCATAAGTTGATAAAAAATGCTATGCAATAGCTTTACCGCGGCAGTCACCGAGTGTCACACGTATTTTTATTTTTTTAAAAACACCTATCCAATACAGGAATACTATGAAGCTTCTAAGATACAAACGTTGGGCATATAAATTTCTATGAGTAATCTGTATTCACTCATTAATATTTTTTACAAACATCTATTTGTTTCTTATCTAAAATACGAGTAGAACGATGCCAATATCGGATGTAAAATACTTTCAACGGAGAGTTAACTTGCTCTACTAATGCGCAATATGTATCCAAATAAAACATAGCGCAATTAGTTTGAATAAGATAGAATTTGTTGCAGTAGAGCCATGCTGCAGCACGAAGGACTACGCTCTCACAAAATACCAACGTGAAATTCGTATGATGAGTGGAGAGAACTGGAAACCCTTTTCACTGGATACGAGGCATTGCATCTTAGTCCTCAGTTGTGGCAACGCATCTGCATTTTGATTCTTAATCGAGAATAAATGTAGACGTCTATTGGGCCACAGCATCCACTTACTATCAGGTGGACTGTGTGCTCGTTTGTTGTCCTAGTTCTATAAAAAAAGAATATTATGGATTAGAGTAGTTAAAGTTACTCTATATTAGGGATGTTGCGAATATTCGCATCCGCATCCGCAAATGCGGAGCTTCCGCATAGATTTGGACTTCTGCATCCGCATCCGCATCCGCATCCGCAATAATCAATGCGGATTTTCATGCGGATGCGAATGTAATACAAATTGTGACAAGCTGACAAGAAAGAAATGAGCGGGGCCAGCAATGGCGCGTGCCGTTTGCACGTGATAAATACCAATGGGAGCGAAAACATCGGTGGACAAGATCCGACGCGTTTCTTGTGCATTGTTTGTTTACTGTAAATAAATCATAACGTATTTGTTTGCGCTGTGGATCTGTAATTTACAAGTGTTGTGTGGATCATTGTGTGTACTTAAATAATTGTTTATTAGGAAATCGTCAGGTAAATGCCATTATGTAACGTGTACACCGGTAATACGTTTTACTGTAGGTAAAGTTTACCATTTTAAAACAATTTTCTTTATTTATCTCGTGAGGTTCCCGTTATTGTTAAATTATCTAACAAGTTAATTATTAATGTCACCACCGACACAAAGTAATATATGGAATTATTTTGAACTTGATAAGACTGATTGTAAAATATCCAATAAAAGCTACTCTTGCAAGGGCCGAACCACCTCGTCTTTAAAAATCATTTAAAGTCGATGCACCCAGAAGAATTTTCCAAATATGAGATCATGAATAAAGAAAATCAATTACAGAAGATAAAATATTCGCTTTTTTAGCAAATATTTAGTCTAGAAATTTATCATAATATCATTATTTAAATAGGTAGTGATGTCTTTTTTTAACATTTCTTTAGTCGTAGCTGTCTTGATACGTAATCCTTCCCATTTTACGAAAAAATAGAATGTAAACAAACAAACCTGGCTTTAATAATCCGACCAAATTAAGAAATACTCGTTCCTTTCGCTTTTTTAGTTTCTTTGTAAATTTGTGATAAATAATCACATTTTGCTATGATAATATTCATAATAGGTTTAAATTGTAAAAGCGACCTCAAAAGAACTCTTTCTACGATTTGTTTACATTTAGATTTAGATTCGTCAAGTGAAGATGAGAGTCAAGAAGTACCATGAAATGGTAGCACTGAAGCTATACTCAAAAAGGAATTACTTTCATACCGCGCTAAAAAAAGACTCAATGTGGATGAAAATCCTCTTAAGTGGTAGAGTGTTCATCGAGAGGAATTTAAGATATTATCACCGATAGCACGAAGATTTTTATTCACTCCATCAGGCAGTGTTCCTAGCGAACAATTATTTAGTAGCGCAGGTTTAATTTACAAACCTCTGCGTAACCTCCTTGAATCAGAAAAAGCGGCAGTATTACTCGTTATGAAGTATTTTTAACTTCACTTACTAATATGAAAATTAGTAAGTGTAGTTAAAAAAATATAGAAGCATTATACTTAATACTGATTTTCATTAATAAAAATGTTGATAATTACTTTATCATTAGGTTCACTAACTAATATGAAAATTAGTAAGTGAAATACTTAAATAAAAATTGGAGAATTATACTTAATACTAATTTTCATTAACAAAAATGTTAATAATTACTTTATCATTGTTTTAATTCTTCATTCATATACTATTTTTATATAAGATCTTAAACATCCGCATCCGCATCCGCGGATGTGAACCTTCAAAAAATCCGCATCCGCAATCACATCCGCGGATGTGAAAAAATCGGCATCCGCAACATCCCTGCTCTATATACGTTGTATAGCAAAGTGACACAGTACAGACCTGTACGTCTCTTTTTATTTCTGAAAGAATTATAGAGCAATGTACATGTCTTTGTAAGCATTTTTTCTTAGGCATGCAGGTTTCCTTACGATATTTTCTTCACCGACGAGCACGTGTTAGATCAGCAATTAAAACTACAATGAACAATTACTATATATAGTTACCGATGGGTCTGTTATATACAAAATTTGACCTGCACAAAGTTCAAAATTTTATTAAGCAAAGTTTGTACAAAAGGGGTTATATATAATTAATATATATAAAAATAATTTATGAACGATTATATCTCCCTTCTTTATGCGGTGCGAAGAGCACAGCATAAATAATATTTTATGATGTACTTACTAAAAGGATGGTTTACTAAAACCCGAGCGGATCAGCTTGTACATAAGTATGACGCTTATAGTAGCCATTCGACCATATTAAAGGGAAGTATCCCCATCTTACGACTCCGTCGTAGGCAGTCCAGAGAAATACTAGTCTTACAAATGAGATGTACCTCCCGCTGTCCATCGAGAATAGATATTATGTCTATGGGCCACAGCATCCACTTCTCATCAGGTGGACTCTGTGCTCGTTTGTCACCCTTCTATAGAAAATGATGTATACAATTGACCTAGCAATTGGTAAGCCTGATTAAATTTTGGGTATAATACATTACTTGATACTTTATCAGGCATATTAGCCAGCAATATTGAACACCTGCAGAATCAGCGATATAATTGCAGACATAAGAAGATGGAGAGCTGGCTTTAATTTTATTTCATAATTTTATTTAATATGGTCGTCCGGTTAATATGGCCACTTTCTTATAACTCAAAAACTACAGCCTTGTTTGCATACATGACTCTGTCATACGATAGCTCTGGTTCATCGACACCCTTTTGACAGTTGACCTTATAGTAAATATTTTAGTTGATTTTAGTATGGTGTGCAGTGTAGTGTAGCTAGTTTTTTTAAATTGATTTTTCGAAGTGTTCATAATTACTGCTAAAGCTTGTTTGGTTTTTTTTTCTTAATATGTTAATAGGATACGAATTTATTTTTTGGTCTCTGTCCTCCTCCCAGTTTTGGTTTTATAGGGCGGCAAAGCTTTATGTGACCATATTACCTTCACGTACCCTAATATGTAATTGTTGATCGCAGTAGAGGGTCATATCGACATCTATCAGAAGCCATAAGATTTTCTAGCACTTTCCATAGTAATCTTTTACGATAACCACTGTACCAAAGAAACAGGTGGTGGTTTTTCATACGCCGCAACCACATACTTAAAACTATTCATATCATTTTGAAGTTATTGCAACGTTCGAACCATATCGCGTTTACTTGTATTACGGACTTAATTACAAATAAATATATGTGTCCACTCTAATCCCTTCTTAATGATTGGTCGATACCCAAATTATCGGTAAATCAACACAATCTTTATAGATAGTTACATTCTTGTTTTAATATGATATTTATATTTTAACCATGATAGTGGTTGTAGAATAGTGTGTTATAATAAAAATTAGTTTTCTAAAATTAAAAAATAAATAAAAATGGAACACGGGATCTTTTTTATTATAATTGGTAAGTGTACATTACATTTCTTTACTTCTTGGTTGGTAGAACCCTCAACAAACACTACAACTGTACTTGATTTTACGGTAATCTTAAATGTTGAGGTAATAACACACCTGTGAACTTCTTAGTTGTTTGACTTTGTTGCAGGTGTCCATAATCTGGTGTATTTCTTTATCGTCAAAATCTGTTTACTGATTTCTTTTAAGTGGTATAAATACGTCAATTATAAGAATATTTAAGTAATAAATACCCATTGCAAAATTGAATATTGCCGTGAAAGGGTGGCGTAAGACCACTACTATAATCCCATATCATTCTGTGGATTTTTTATAGAATAGGGGTGACAAACGAACACACAGTCCACCTGATGGTAAGTGGATGCTGTGGCCCATAGACATCTACATTTATCCTCGATTAAGAATCAATAAGCAGATGCGTTGTCACGTCTGAGGACTAAGATGGAATGCCTCGTTTCCCGTTAAAAAGAATCGCTTATTCTCTACACTCACAATACGAAACATAGCGGCATTAAGCAGCTATTTCACGCTGGTATACCTTGAGAGCGTGGTCCTACCCTGGTCGCACCGACCCATTCGTGCTACAACCATAATATAGCTACAGCGTGGCTTTACTACGTTGAAATGTTTTGAGAGGTGTCATAGGAAAACTGACAAAAATGACGGGCAAAAGCAAATGCCTGATGACTCAAAAAAAATGTGGTTTCAAAACCCAACCAGGGTGCCAAGCGTAACAAATTATTATAAATATTAAAAATAATAATCACCTACGGACTCTAACTACTCGGGATTATAAGGCAAGAGTACATGCACAGGTTTAGTTTGCTAACACTATTTACTAACTCTCATAGAACATCCAATAGTGCTGCAATCCGACATGACCGTGGAGACCGTAAGAGATCAGCCGCAGCATCAACGGCTTTACGTGCTTTCTGAGGCACGGTGGTGAAACATTGCCAACTTCCTAACTTTGGGCTGCTAATTTACGTAAGAACTTAATAAATGATTGATGACCCAGTTCGAACCCGGGTCAGCAGGGAACTATATCATGCATAGAAAATATCCCCCCTCATCTATAAGGCGATTAATGTCCCCCATTTTCAGCAGTGCAAAGTCCACTGTGTCCAGATATGCAGTAATAAATAAATTTATTAACGTTTTCCTTAGGTATCACCATCCAATCACAGTCAACGTCAGCGATCTGGTCCTGCAGCCTAGACTCCGAGTGTTCCAGTCTTACTGGCAGCATCTGTGTAGACGGAAGTTGTGTCTGTGCACCTGGTCAACAACCCGTACTAGGTGGGACGATCTGCGCTGATGGTGAGTAATACATTAGAGTGAGTGATACATTTCTCTGGGGATATACCACGCCTTCGAACCCAATGGTTAGCTTCGGCGCTCATAATACATACAATGTACAACAAAGCAGTGGAATAGTTCGCCAGTATTTCTCTTTACATCATTCGCAATTAAAACATATGCTTTCAGAGAATAAATAACTAACATTAATAATAATAATAATAATATTTCCATTAGAGCATATGAGGAGTACATTGGAAGAGGCGATTGTGGAAACGCGCAGTACGCCTCTCGAAAATCGACCGCGACTTCCCCGCATAGCCCTAAGCAAGCGGAATCGGGCTGTCGTGAGGGCTCTGAACCCAATGCTGGTGACCTATTTGGAAGCCAGCCGGGACCTTTGCGAGACGGACTCAATTCTTTTTGGCGCCGCACTGGCAGCGTGCCGTACTATAGGCGCCAAACTTTCCACGTTCGGACGCGCTACTGGACAAAGTAGCGCTATCCCAGCCTGGAGAATAAAAATTGAAGAACGTATCGCAAAGGCTAGGGCCCTCATCGGCAGACTGATATGCTTCAGGTCAGGCAACAACAGGCCAAGGATTTTGCGCACCATCAGGATTGCATTTGCTGGGACAAATGTTAGTTTGTCCCAGCCGGATATAATGCAAAAACTGACGGAGCGCATAGACGACCTGAAGCAGAGAATCGCTGCTTGGGGAAAGCGGATTCGGCGATATACCGAGAGGTCGACACGGTTTAACCAGAATCGTCTCTTCCAGAGTGATCAGAAGAGGCTCTATAAATCGTTGGAGCGACCAATGGTAAGTGGAACGGGCCCAGCACCGAATCAGGCCGACACTGTAGCATTCTGGCGCGGCCTGTGGTCAGAGCCCGTAAACCACAGCGAGGGCCCTTGGACGGAAGTTGTGGCGAGTCAGTGTGCGAGTATAACGCCCATGGACCCCGTCATTATAACACCGGATGACGTAGCTGAGGCGGTCCGTAAGGCCTCGAACTGGAAAATCCGGGACTCGACCGGCTGCATCACTACTGGCTGAAGGGGTTTGTGGTGTGTCACACTGTGCTCGCCCGACAGTTCCAAGAGGCTCTCAACCAGAAGTCGCTCCTGAGCCTCTTCACTACTGGGATCACGCATTTGGTTCCTAAAGACCAGGTTACCACAGACCCGAGCAAATACCGCCCCATCACGTGTCTGCCGACCATATACAAGACACTAACATCCATTTTGAGCGCGAGAATCACTCGTCACCTGGAATCAAATCAGGTGATGTCGCGCGCTCAAAATGGATGTCGGGGCGGCGGTTGTGGAACAAAGGAACCACTCCTCATTGACGCGGTCATTGGCAAAGTGGTGAAACGCAACCGTCGGAACTTCTCCGCCGCTTGGATAGACTACAGAAAGGCATTTGACTCGGTGCCCCATACATGGCTAAAGAGGGTCCTCGAGCTGTACAAGATTGACTGTACAGTTCGAGACTTCCTCGGGCAGTGTATGGGGCAGTGGAGTACAATCCTCTGTCATCTAGGCGAGCGGATGACGGCTGCGGAAAGCCGCATAAGGATAAGAAGGGGTATATTCCAGGGCGACTGTCTGAGTCCAATCTGGTTCTGCCTCCCTTTGAACCCTCTCAGTACTTTACTGGAGGGTTCCGGGAGGGGGTTACAGCTTCGGAAAGGAGGTACAAAAGTGACCCACCTTTTCTATATGGATGACCTCAAATTATTCGCCTCCAGTCGCTCCCATCTTATGGAATTGCTAAACATCACTTGTGAATTTAGCAATTCTATTGGAATGGAGCTGGGGACGGATAAGTGTGCGGTCCTCCATGTTGAGAGGGGTAGGGTTGCTAACTCTGAGGGCATAGACTTATCTATGTCCGTCAACTTAAGGACCCTTTCCGAGGCTGAAACATACCGATACCTAGGTATGTCACAGAACATCGGTATCGATGAGGCTGGTATGAAACAGTCAGTTTGCGACACGTTTTATGCACGCTTGACCAAAGTGCTTAACAGCCTTTTGTCCAGTGTGAATAAGGCACACGCATATAACGGCTGGGTCATGCCTGTCCTCATGTATACCTTTGGCATACTCAGGTGGACTCAGACCGAACTTAACGCCCTGGATAGAAAAGTCCGCACTACCATGACGTCCCATAGGATGCATCATCCGAGATCGTCGGTAATGAGGCTGTACTTGCCGCGAAAGCGTGGTGGGCGTGGCTTCCTGAGCGCGCTCACCATGCATAATCGCGAAGTGTGCAGCCTCCGTAATTACTTCCTGGTGAGATCGGATGATCCATTCTATAATGACGTCATTTCCAGTAATAAATGACTTACCCCTCTATCCTTAGCCAACGAGCAATGGCAAGAACCGGCAGTACAAAGCATTTCCGACCGCGAGACCGTATGGAAGGAGAAAGAGCTCCACGGGAGGTACTACAGGGTTCTATATGATGGCTACTCAACTGGCTACGTTTCCGTGACCTTTTTGGGGAAACCGAGGGTTTTGTCTGTGCAATACAGGATCAGGTTATTAAGACCAACAACTATCGGAGATACATCCTAAAGGATGGCACCATCGACGTCTGTCGAGCTTGTCGCCATCCCGGTGAGTCACTTAGGCATGTCATCTCCGGTTGTTCGGCGCTTTCTAACTCTGAGTACTTGCACAGGCACAACCTAGTAGCCAGAATTCTACACCAGGAGCTCGCTCTGAAATACGGTCTCGTGGATCGGAAATTGCCGTATTACAAGTACTTACCGGAAGCCGTGCTCGAAAATGACCGCGCTAGGCTCTACTGGGACCGGGCCATCATCACAGACAGGACTATTCTTGCGAATAAGCCTGATATTGTTATGATGGACCGGGCACAGTCAAGGATATTTTTGGTCGACATTACCATTCCGTATGACGAGAACCTCGTGAAAGCCGAAACAGATAAACGAACAAAATATCTGGACCTGGCTCACGAGGTGACCGATATGTGGCGAGGTCTGCCGGCCGAAATTATTCCTGTAGTCGTCTCTGCGAATGGGCTAATCCCAGTCAGCCTCTCGGGTCATCTGAGGCGACTGGGACTCCGTGACGGACCGCTCCGGGCTCAAATGCAAAAGGCGGTGCTCCTCGATACCGCCCGCATCGTCCGCCGGTTTCTTTCCCTTTCCCCCTAACCCTCGGCCGTTTGGTCTCCCCTGCCGAGGGCTTCCATCTGGTTGGGCTTTTATTTATTTATGTATTTTTGTATTGATTTTATTGATATTTTTGCATTGATTTTATCGATATTTATGTATATTTATCGTTTCATTTTAATTTATAATTATATATTTATATAACCCAACCAGATGAGAAAACTATATAGATACAAAAAAATAATAATGATGTTCTCCAGACCGAATTTCGATCACGGCGGGGCCTGCCTCAACGGAGGCTAGCCATCGGTGCAGGACAGGATTATAGTGCCCAAGTGTATGCGCAAGCACAGGTGCACTCTCTATTGCCTCACTCTCATAATCCGATGGGACGGTAAACCGACACGACCGGAGAGAGATCAGGCATAGGACCAACGGCTTTACGTGCTTTCCGATGCACGTGGTGAGACACCGCCAACTTCCTGACTCTGGGCAGCTACTTAGAATTTCTTGACGGAAAAATTCAATAGTTAATTTTATTGGCCCGATCCGGGATTCGAACCCAGGACCTCATGATCAACAGTCGCACTACTACAACCACTGGACCAACGAGCCAGTCAAAACAACTAACATTAACAAAATAATAAAGAAAATTTTGGTTTTAAATGTTGTCTTTTGTGCATTATGTGTTCATGTGTCGTTATTTAATATTTTTTTGTTTTATTTAAATAAATATATAGATTTGCCTATTTTTGAAGGTATGTTTCAAATAAATATGCTTTTCTTTTTTCTTTAATATTAATTTTTTTGTAGAAGTAAGAATGACAATCGAGCGTACAGTCTACTTGATGGTAAAGGGATGTTTAAGCCCATGGACGTCTATCCTCTATTAAAATCAAAATGCAAATGTGTTTTCAACCCTGATGACAAGATGGCATTTCTCGTTACCAATAAGGATTCTTAATCAAGGATTGATGTCTATGGACCACAATATTCGCTCACCATCAGATGAACTATGTGCACCCTTGACACCCACATTCTATTAAAAAAAAATAGAAGAAAAGCAAATGATCATACATAAATTTTTTTCTTTACACAGTGGCACCATATTTCACTTCTCCTTGCTTAGAAGATCATCAGTGCTTCAGACTTTTCAACAATTACGAGTGTCAACTAAATAACAACGATGCAGGTACGTTTATAAGTTTCAAACAGACAAATATTGAACTCTACAGAGTCAGTATAATTACTGGCTTTCCATCTCACTCCTCAGGAGTTACAACGCATCAGTAGTCTTCTATGACGAGTTTATATCTTAGAAACAAGCAAGCATTTACCATCTGGAGGACTGTATGCAAGATTATCACTTCTATTTTATAAAAGCAATTATTCCAAAATATTTTACAAGTCTATTGATAATATGGGACTCAAACAGTGACAGCGTTGGCGTTTCTCATAGTCGCCTCTTACGACACCTACGGGATGAATAGAGTATGTAGAATAGGATAGGACGGCGTACAAAGCAATGGATAACTCCAATTTTGTGTAATGAGGCAGCGGATATACATCGCTGCTTTGCACGAATAACCGCACAAACCAAAATATTGAAAATACTGGTTTATAACACAGTCACTTGCAAAATAGTCCGTATTTTATGGTCAGTAAGACTCACATTCATAACGGCAAAACTGACGTAGTGGCGCGTAAAAATGTCGTTATGTGATTGGTTGATTTATCACGCCATATTTGTGCAATAGTCGACGATCGCCAGTTGCTATTACTGTTTTCGCGTGTCCACGTCAAAACTTTCGGGAATAATAGCACATTACCAAATAATCGTGTGTTTAAATTGTAAAGTTTAGTAATATTTTCTGCAATATTCATTCATTTTGAGTTGATTGATTATTTAAGTTAAAATTGTGACTGTTTTCGATCATTTTTTTTCTTAAAAAGTGCTGCATTTAGTGCTACAACATTCTTCATGAAAAAGTAAGTAAGACAATAATACTTATTAAGTTTTATTTGTTTCTTGAAGATAGAAACAACAAAATGTTTTAACATGTTTATGAAATAGGTTATTATTGCTTAAAAATAAAGCTAAACAATTTAGAACCGAAAGCAAGTTAAGTTACTTTTAACGATATAATGTAATTATAACGTGTTTTGGTGTTTTTTTTGCTGCCTCTTGCGTGGCTTATTTAACCGCGATGTCCCGGGTTCGAATCCTGGTTCAAGCAGCAAACGGGGTAATCGTCATTTCTTATTTAGAACATTCTTAATTTAGCAACTCGGCGTTAGAAATTATGCCGATGAACAGCAGAAAAAACATAGCCGGCTTCGGGTATTACAGGCATGATGCTATGTTGTGTTGTGTTGTAGTATGATAGGACTGAACGGTGTGGTGTGGCATGACATGGTGTGGTATGGAGTGGTGTGGTGTGGTGTGTTGTATTGTGATGTTGTTCTGGCATGACATGCCATGGCATAGTATGGCGTGGTTCGTTATTTTATGAAATGTTCTTATTATTTACAGTGCCGAATCCCCGTACCCTACAAATAATCCGGAATCTCAAACAAGATAGTAAATCTGTTATACAGAATGAAATACCTACGACTTCAACTTCCATACAATTCACTGAAAAGGAACAGTTCATTTTATCTCCCAAGCCTAACGATAATATTGAAAATAAAGATTTATCTAATGTTAGTGAAGACTTTTGTTCAGATGATAGTGTGAAGGATCCTGACTATGTAGATATCGATACACCCTGTTCTACAAAGAGGTCTCTTTTGAAAAATAAAAACCGAGAAGTTTTTAAAAATTTGTTGAGTGGAGTAGATTTAAATGAAAAACAATATGACAATTTCAGTAACGATGTTTTCACCATAAACCAAACAAGTTCACCTATACCTATGCCGATAGCCCCCATGCAAACAGAATCTAGTAGCAGCTCAAGCGATGGAATTGGTTCATCCAGCTCAAGCGATGGATCTAGTTCCTTAGATTCCGAGAGTTCATCAGACGATGAATTGAATAATGAACGTTTAACAGCAGTGGTTCAGTCTAGGGTAGACAATAACACATTTCTTACAAGAGCTACCTGCATCGAAGAAGATATTTCTCGCAATGATTCGATTGAGCCAGTAGCTTCAACTTCATGTTCCACACCTCCAACTTCTTTAGAACTTACTGCTGATACCAGTTCTACACATCTTGGTTGTATCGATAATATCAGCTCAAATAAAGGACGGAAAAGAAAATCTACACCCAATAACTGTTTGCGTAACAAGGCAAAAATCCTAAGAAACTCTGGTAAATAATTCTGATAAATATCCAATTCTAAAAAGGGAAAAACCGTTGTGCCTGCAAAGTCTCTCAAAACACCGTGTACTGATAAATGCAAACAAAAATGTACACAAAACATTACAGAATCACAGCGCAAAGAAATTTTTGAAAGCTTTTGGGGCATGGGAGATCTGCAAAGGCAACGGGAGTTTATTTTACGCCATCTTTCCGTCATTCAACCACGATACTCATACAAGATGCATAACAGTAACCGAGGGAAAAACAACGCTTTTTATTTGACCATTGATAATGAGAGAATTCGAGTGTGTAAAGTATTTTTTAAAGCTACGCTAGATATAACCGATGCCTTTATCCGAACTGTTATTCAAAAGAAGCAGAATTCATGTGGAATGTTAGATTTGGATAATCGTGGCAAACACAGTCAACATTTCCATTTAGATCCGGCTATTAAAGAAAGTGTAATTCAACACATCAACTCAATTCCAAAAATTGAAAGTCACTACTGTCGTGCAGACACAAAAAGGCTTTATATTGATGGTGGGAAAACTGTAGCAGACTTACATAGGGATTACGAACTCGACTGTCAGTCAAAAAGTCTACCAAGCGCCAATTACCTTATGTATTACAGGATCTTCAACAACGAGTTCAACATTAGCTTTTTCCAACCAAAAAAAGATCAGTGTGAGGACTGTACATCATACAGTAATGCCACAGAAAACGATAAGGTAGAACCGAAAGAAAAGTTTGATAGGCATTTAAAAGAGAAGGATTTGTCAAGGAAAAATAAAGAAGATGATAAAAAATTTACTCCTGATAATTGTATTGTAGCAGTTTATGATCTTCAGGCTGCAATGCCTTGTCCTAGAGGAGATGCATCAAACTTTTATTACGTATCAAAATTAAATACGTATAATTTCACAATATGCGATATCAAATCTAAAGACACTGCATGTTATGTCTGGTATGAAGGTGAAGCTAAACGCGGTGCTATAGAAATAGGATCTTGTTTGCTTAAATACATACAGAATTTAAAGTTCGAAGCTGAAGAACTAGACTCAAAATTAGATATAGTTTTTTATTCCGACAATTGCTGTGGCCAGCAAAAGTACATAATAGCTCTTTATGTATATGCAGTTTACCATCTCGATTTTATTAATTCAATAACCCACAAATACTTAATAAAAGGGCACACTCAAAATGAGGGTGATAATGTCCACTCCCTTATTGAAAGAGGAGTAGGTAGAGCTCTAAAGTCTGGACCCATATATACACCTGACCAGTATGTGCACATTATAAGAAATGCTAAAAAAATCTGGTAAAGCCTATCAAGTAAATGAATTAATACACGAATATTTTTTTGATATAAAAGCGTTGGCTTCATCGATAGGCAAAAATTTTTCTAAGAATATGGACAACGAAACGTTAAAGCTAGGAGACGTCAAAATTTTAAAGGTGGAATCTAATGACTCTAATTACTGTTTTTCCTATAAAACATCGTACGAGGACACAGAGTTTAAAACAGTCATGATAGATAAAATTGGTAAGACAAGAAACACTGCCAATAATATCACTGTTAAAAAGGCATACAGAGAAAAAATCCCAATATGTGAGAAGAAGAAGAAGGGTTTGCTAGACCTTATTAGGAAAAATATTGTACCAAGATTTTATAAACCGTTTTTTGAGAATTTCTAATTTTTATTATTAAGTGTACCTGAAGAAGGCTGATTATGCGGTAGTTGTCCAATGTTTGATAGACTTTTTTGGTTATTGTTTTTAATTAACCGAATTATTTTTAAAATAAACACAAGTTTGTTATTTTTTTATGTTTAAGCATGGTTCATCATGTTCCTAATTATTTTTAGTTTGTTGATTTTTTTTATGTTTATGGTTCATAATGTTCCTAAATATTTTTAAAAAGCAAAACTTTGTTAGAATTTTATTTATGTTCATGGTTCATAATGTTATTTTTCCTAATTACTTTTAAGAAGCGTAATAGATAGGTATTGTTGGTTCGATTTCTTTTATGTTTGTGATTCCTAATATTTTAATGTTAACGTGATCATTTTAATCTGCGTACTGGTAGCTTGATGACAGTAATAGACATACTGCAAATTGTTATAAAATGTGGACTATAATAATAATAAATAATAATAAAAATACTTTTCTACAGGTTTGTTTAATCTCTAAATATGATAAACAGAAATGTGTTACTCTACAGAAAAAATCGTTCCGAAGGCTTCAGCATAAAACAAATAAATTGATTTGTGTTTGAACACACTTTTCATTAATATTATCTTTATCGTAATTGTGTCATTATTACAGATTTTTTTTAATATCTTGTAGATCATATTACCAGTTATGCCATTGTAAAACTAAAATTGAGAACTATTCATATGTATTATTTTGATTTATGTTCCTATTCATGATAAAATACCAAAACTCATTTTGTAACAAGTCGAATAAGTCATAGTTTTTAATTATTAATTAAGGTATTCGCAGCTCAAAACCTGAATTTTTAGATTATAATCAAACCTTGATTAATATACTTTCGATTTATATATTCTACTCTTCTAATGATCAAAAACATGAAAAGTTATGACAGTAAATATTTTGTTTAATTTTCAAATAGCTACCCTGTAAAATGTGTGTTTTTGGATTGTGCGGTTATTCGTGCAAAGCAGCGACATGACTAAAGCGTAACTAAGTCGCAGCTCAAATCCATCTTGAGGAAACATTATCCGTCGTTGTGTCCATAGTGGTGAATGTTTCTATAATTAGTTTTTGTTAATTTAAGTATTTATGAGTACCAGATATTTTTATTAAGGAGTGTGAAACGATAAACCGTTGCGTTGCCGACAAACTGGCTTACAGTTTGGCAAAATTTAAAATATAAAATAATGTACACTCTTTATAAGAATAAAAAAAGAACGGAATAGAAAGAAATAATGTTGAATAGAATGGAAAGAAATAGAGTAAAATAAAGTTGGGGAGAGGAGAGAAGATTAGTTAATATGAGACGAGAGAAGGGTAAAGTAGCATTGAATACAATAAATTACAATAAAATACAATATATATTTTTACAAAAATACATCAAGTTTTTCAGATAATATAGCATAGATCGCTCCTAGGAGTACTCTCTATATGTTCGTAAAGTTTTAGACTAGACCGACAGACAACATTCGATCTTTCTCCTCAGTGGTGATAATGCATCTATATCTACTTAGTTAAAGTTGTAACACGAATGGATCGACTCGACCGGGGAAGGACCACGCTCTCCAGCGTGGTCCTTCCCCTATTATCTGTATTATATGTATACCATACCATATGTATACCAGCGTAAAATAGCAGCTTAATGCTGCTGTGCTTTCGTATGGTGAGTGTAGAGAATCGGAGACTCTTTTACTGGAAAAGTGGCACTCCATCTTAGTCCTCACGGGTGACAACGCATCTGCATTTTAATTCGTAATCGAGGATAGATGTACACGTCTATGGGCCACAGTAATCACTCACCATCAGGTGGACTGGGTGCTCGTTTGACACCTTATCGTATTTAAAAAAATTGGTTCTTAATCGACGATAGACTCTCGTAGGTGCTCTCGTAAGATAAATCGATGCTGTAGTCTATGGACTACAGCATCCACTTACCATCAGGTGGACGTGGTACTCGTTCACCCTTATTCTTTAAAAATATCTTAGAAACAAGCAACAATGCTCTAGACCTCTACCGTACTACTGAGTATTTTCATTTATTTTTTTATTAAATTATTAAAGACATACTCTTTGGTTTGATTTTCTTCATGGCTTACCATTTTTTTTCTATCTGTTTCAGAAGGTACTTGCGGCTGCAAAGCCGGCCATCACTACTTTCGCGGCAGATGTTGGAGCTCATCGGACTACGGTGAAGCCTGTACCAGAGATGAGGAATGCTTGGGGGCAATAAGGGATCCTTACAGCATGGTTTGCAATGGAACGTGTACCTGTGCCGATGGGTATTATTTAAGGCAGCGAGGCGAGTGCAGGAAGATGGGGTTGTGTGAGTTTCTGTTTCCACTACATGTAAAGTAACAGAATGCATTATTATTTTTGGGTATTTACTATATTTATGTAGTATTGTCATCTGGTTGGGCTGCATAACTATACTAGTTGATACACGCTGGCTTCGCTGGGTGCACGATAACATTTTATTGCGGAATAAGTACGATAAAAAAATTATGGGACTATCGTAAAATCCGTTCTTATTGAGCGTCGACATTGCAAAATGAGTAATTCTATACTAAATTTCAAGTTAATATATATGTGTATAGTTTTAAAGATCTCGTGATGAGTCTGCAACACCCTATTTTTCCAGACGGTAAAGAAGGTCATCCAGTATATTAAATACAGTAAAATAAATAAATAAAAAATAAATGAATAAATGAAAACCCAATCAGATGGACGCCCGCAGCAGCGAGATCCAGACTACCTTAACATTGAGGTGAAAATTGTACAGTTGGACATTGGGAGACTCACCTATTTCTTGGATGGTTGACGGATGTAGAAAATGAACTGGAGCTCTCCCAACTAAGTAATGGGCTATCTCTATAGGATTAGACAATGGGCACATGTATCTTACTTTGTCTTTAATGATTCTGTACGGAGAAATTGTCTTGATGAAAACTATTTCAGAATACGTTAAATATGACTGACTAATACAACATAGTAATTATTATTTATTAAAGTACTAAGTACTTAGCAGAATTGTTGTACCACTAAGACATTTAATTCTACATTTTTAACGTGGTAGAGCGACGGAACAGCTATATTATAGTTTTTTTATAGATTAAGGTAAAGAGCACATGATCTATCTGATGGTGACCATTAAACATCACAATGTATCCTTGATAAATTACGTCGGGAGAAGCCGTCTTGCGTTTTGTGGAAGAACAAAGCCGATACCGCATAGAGGATCCGATCTCTACATTTGCAGCGCCTGGAGTCTTCAAACCTACGTATTTCAGGTTCCTGCAAAATACAAAGAGACATTCCTCGCTCCCGATTCTGGCCTTCTGGGGTAGTGTTTCGCCGACACAGTTACGCACCATAGAAAATAGATCTCTAAATAGTGTTATGTTTATATTTTCTCAAGTTTTAAGTACTTGATACCCGAAATAAAGTTATTGTATTGTATAAAGAATCAAAATCCAGATGCATTCTCTCTCTTAAGGACTAAAATGGAATACCTCGTTACCACTCCAGTTCTCTACACTCACCATACAAAACACTAAAGCAATTTTCTTCTTCCTACATGCTGCCCCCACCAAATCATTCTGTGAGAATATGATCCTACTCTGGTGGCAGCGTGGCTTTACCACATAATCCTCGACATTTTGACTTGACACCGAGGAATAGATGTAGACGTCTAGGCGCCACAGCATCAACTTACTAGCAGGTGGAAAGTGTGCTCGTTTGTCTGTGTGTGCTGGTGTTCTATTCTATATATAATATATTTATCAATGTTTCTAACAAAGGCGTACACTTTCAGCTGTAGGCGATGGTTGCGTGCTGAACGAGGATTGCCAGTTCCCCGATGGTGCTTGTGATCAGGCAAATTTTGTATGCTACGATGTTAACGGTAAGCAATTAAACAAATTTTAATTTAAATAGATCCGAAGTAGTCCAGGGGCTAAAAAACTGTCAGAGCAACGTGAATTCAATCCTGGCTCACCGAAAATTATTAATTGCAATTAAAAGTGCTGATATATGAAACTTGCGTGTCTAAAGATTGTTATATTTTGGGAACATGTGAAGTTTGCCAACACGCACTGGATCAGCGTTGCAGACTAATTTCTCGACTATGATAAAATATTTCTTCCGATTGTGGTGCACGAGTGTGTGCTCAAGCAGAAGTGCACGCTTTACTCTATTTCCTCACTCCCATAATCCGATCGGACGGTAAACCGATACGATTGGGGGAGAGATTAGGTATAAGATCAACGGTTTTACTAACGATTCGAGGCATGGAGATGAACTCTTTCGAATCCAAACTTTTCTCTAATGTCTCCTGAACCGAATTTTGATTACGACAGCTAGTCTCAACTAGCCATCTATGCAGATAGAATTACAGAGTACCAGTATGCGCGTAAGAACATGTGCACTTTTTTTTGCGCCCGAAGCAAATATGGGCAACCCTCCGGAAAGCGGGGGAGGGAGGCGGTGAATGCTCATAGCATACCACGCAGCCGGCTGCGTGGTTATGTGGAGACTTTTACCCACTAAACACCGCCTTTTAGGAATTGACTTAACGATCTGACTAGAGATCTCTAAGCCGTATACGAACGCGACCCTCCTTGGCAGAAAGGAGGGCGCAAGCGGCGAAAAGCCGCTTAGAAGAGTGCCTTACTAAGGCAGATTAAGGGATGTGTTATGTAGGCTCGGCCTGAGCCGCCAGGAGGCAGTTCAGGTCAGCCGAAAGCTTGTTGGGGGGGGGGGCGAGAGAGAGTTTCTCGGTCTGCGCACACTATAGCGAGTGTGGATAGGGGCTGCATAGGCAGCTGTCTCACGAATGAGATGATTTGGGTGGGACTCTGAGGCTTTGAAAAATCTCTCAGAGAGTGATTTAAGGAACTGCTGGATTGTTGGGAGCTCTAAGTCGCGATGTAGGTCGGCATTACGGACATAATAGGGCGAGTTAGTGGCCCTACGACAGAATCATGTGCACTCTCTATTACTTCACTCTTATACTGATTGTGGTTTCGGGTTCAAAAAAAACAGTTATAGGTTTTTTCTATCAATGAATTCTCAGTAGCTCCCCGGAGTCAAAAAGTTGGCGGTGTTTCACCCTGTGCATCGGAAAGATTTCTCTCCGGTCGTTTTTTTATAGAATAGAGGTGACAAGCCAGCACACAGTCCACTTGATGGTAAGTGGATGCTGAAGCCCATTGGCATCTACATTTATCCTCGATTAAGGATCAAAACGCAGATGCGTTGTCACCCTTGACTGACTAAGATGGAATGCCTCGTTTCCAGTAAAAAAGGATCTCCGGATCTCTACACTCACCATACGAAACACAGCAGCATTAAGCTGCTATTTTACGCTGGTATTCTGTGAGAGCGTGGTCCTTCCCCGGTCGAGCCGACACATCCTTGCAACAACTTGTTAAAAATGGATGTGATGGATTGCCGTCCCATCGGACTATGACTATCCATCCATCCATCGCAGCCTATAAAATCCAGTGCTGAACATAAGCCTCCCCCATATGGTCTAAGGGACAATAGGGAAAAGTTTGGATTCAAATATGCCGCGCCTTGGTCAGCTTCCGACATTGCCGACTGAAATACTAACCGTTTCCCCTTTGAATTTTAAATCACGAGAAGACTCGCAAGATAACCTAATTTGTACTTTAGTCACAGATTTTATATGACTCCTGTTGGTCTCAGGAATAATTTCTGAAAGGCTTATGAGGGAATTACTCGGCCGCGCTGCTTCAGTGCTTGTTGGCAATCTACACATGCCCCAAAAATATTTAATTTCTCGAACATGAAGGTTTCGTCACGGTGTTCTTCTTCACCAATCAGAACGTTGTATATCAGTACTTAAAATTGCTGTTAAGATGGTATAGTAAGTCAGCTCAAATTCTAATTTGGCCCACACTTCCCCGCGCGTCGTATGCTATGTACCGACATGTTTGTAATCACTAATACTGTAAGTAGATAGGTCGTTAGATACTTATTTCATTAGGTTTATCATATTTATGCCTGTTTCTTAACGCCAACCTAGTCGCTTCTTATTTTTATTACGGTTATTTCTCATTTTAAGTTTACGTCGTCCTGTTGCGTAACGTGTACTCTGATCGTAAGCGACACAACATCCCCCTTCAAAGGCCGAAGCAAAACTGACCGGGCGGCAAGAATCAAGCTTCAAGATGCCGATAGTTTAGGTAATTTCTTTTTACAGTGAAAATAGTGGTATTTAAAAAAAAGTAAATAATATAAGCACTGCTTTATAGTTAGTTCAGTTAGTATGCAAAGTTTCATGATCTTATTTAAAGTAATTTATGAATAACAACGGTTTATTGTTTATTTTGGTGGTAACTTTGGATTTTTTTTCTATCGAGAAAATTTCACGTGTTTTCGTCTAACATAATCATTAACATTAATCCTCAACTTTACCATATATTTATTTCAAAATTAATGCTGCAATATTTTCGGAATAACGGAGGATCTTGCTAAGCCATTTGAGGTTATATTTCCCCTTAACTATTTCATTGATGCCGCCGAGATCAAACAAGGATTGTCCGCGCACTGGAGCTACTGTGTACTTAAAATACTTCTGAAGAATACTAATATTTTTACCACGTTTTATTAACTCGCTTTTGGTGAAAATAAACAAACTTCCCAATGAGCTTTCAACTTGAAACTTTGAACATAGTTCAGTAACGGACAAAAAAGCGGTATATTAGCCATGTCAATGTTCCTTGGATCATAAATGAGCATATCAATTGTTTAACTGTTGTATCTTTTCGACGGACGGGACGGGACGGGTAAATTCTTAAACTTTTTAATAATTATAATATAATCATACGTGGTAGAGCCACGTATATTTATATTATATATATAATTATACGTGGCAGAGTCACGCCGCAGCTATATTATGGTTGTAGCACAACCCGGGAAGGACCACGCTCTCACAGAATACCAGAGTAAAATAGCAGCTTAATACTGCTGTGTTTCGATTGGTGAGTGTAGAGATCCGGAGACTCTTTTTCTGGAAACGAGGTGTTCCATCTTAGTACTCAGGAGTCACAACGCATCTGCGTTTTGATTCTTAATCAAGGATAAATGTAGATGTCTATGGGCCGCAGCATCCACTTACCATCAGGTGGAATGTGTGCTCGTTTGTCACCCATACTAACGAGCACACAAATAAATTACTCCTGTAATTTTTTTTAATATTTATTATTTACTTATTTATATTTTATATTTATTTAATAAATATTCACATTGTTTCAGATCAAAATTTTAATGAAACTACTTTTATGGAAATCAGTAACGGCGAAAGCAACGGCATCAATATGTTTAACAACATGGCGACTGTATCAAAACAAAATGGCAGCACTATTACATGTGGCGCTAACGACGCGTGTCCGGAACCATTTGAATGTTCACCTTTCGGTGTCTGTATTTGTCCACTTGGATATTACGGCGGAGAAAACACAACATGCTTAGCTGGTAAGTTATTATACTTATATATTTTCTTTTTTTCATTTACTTATATCTTTATGAAATTAAAGTGAAAAAAGAAATCACGGTCCACCTGATGGTAATTGGCTACTGCAGCTCTGCAGCCCATGGACACCTGGAGCCAACTTTAAACATAGAAGACAAGAAAAATTGATTGTCTCCCTTAGGATTTAGATGGAATATTTTAAAGGTTACAATTAGGTATACTTGACTAGCATAGGTTCAATACCTTTGTTAGAAAGAGAAGTACCTACCGAGACTGTAATAATAGGTGGCTATTTTGTAACAGGTTTTTGGAATTGTTATTTATAGGGAACTGGAACAGGCGTAACAGATATGGGATTTTACCTATTACAACCCACTCCTGATAAAATATAGATAAGAAAGTTGCACCCCCAAAAATTTTGGTCTGTCTGTTTGTTTGTTCCAGCTAATCTCTAAAATAGCTGAACTAATTTTCACTGACAGATAGCTACTGTTAAAATGAGTAATTTAGACTACTTTTATTTTAGAAAAAGATTAAAACCAATATAAATTACACGCGGGCAAAGTCGCGGGGAACAGATAGTCGAGAATGATTGCGAATATCCGGGAGTCCGTTTCTACACAGGGAACAGTAAATAGATGGCAGTAGCGGAGTCTCGCAACTGCAAATCAAGGGGGGAAACCTTTGTCTGAGTGATGAGAAATTCAATTCCGTTCGACCACGTTTTTCAGGGTATAAGGGCTTCTGTCTGAGTGATGTTTAATTCCACTCGACTCCACTGATTTAACGAGTGACGTTTCATTCCACTCGACCCCACCGATATACAGAGTGACGAAAAATTCCACTCGATTTCACCATATACAGAGTGACGAAAATTCCACTAGATTTCACCGATTTACTGAGTGACGTAAATATCTATGAATCACATTATCCATTTACCATCAGATGGACCGTGTGCTCGTTTGTAGTCCCAAATAAAAAAGATGTCCAATCACCTAATCATCTCGTTTAGCAGACTAGTGTATACTTCTCAGCCTATGCATCTGGTCATTTACTTAAATTTGACATTTAGAACAGATTATGGCGACACCATATGGTAAAGTTTTTAGGTAGCTGTGTACCTCGTGGTACTGGCTGTCACCAGCGACGTGACATCATGATCTTCTTTCCCTGAACAAATATATTATAATGTCTTCTAGACTGGTATTCGGTCGCGTCGGCCAACATCAATGGAGTCTAGCCGTCTACACAGGACATGATTATAGTTCACAAGTGTGCTTGCAAGCACACGTGCACTTCCTCCTCTCCTCCCCCTCTTCCACCCAGCCGGCCAAAAAAAGAACAAAGGAACATAGAAATAACTGTTTTAAGTTCATTCTAATATACTGCATGATCTTTTTTACCGTCGTTGATTTTTTGTAAAATATCAGTGCCATAGTCTTCTACACCGTTCACATGTTACACCCTATTTTTTTCTAGACAGTAAAAAAGGTCAACCGGTATATAGATATACAAAATTTGACCTGCACAAAGTTCAAAAACTTTACCAAACTATGTTTGTATAAAAAGGGTTATTATAATATTAAGGAATTTATGGATGATAATAACCCCTGGGAAGGGTGATCGCTACCAAGCTATTTCTAATTTGTTATATGTTGTTAATTGTAACATACATGTATTTCATTACATTGTAAGCTGTTATTTTTTAAAATCTCGCTGAGTTTCTTGCTGGTTCTTCACAGGACAGAGGTTTTTTTACCGAACCAGTGGTAAATTAAAAAAGTGTCTTTCAATAAGTATTATTTATAATCTATATTGAATAAAAAAGTTTCTATTTATGTTTCCGAGGCAAGAGTGTGCAATATCGCCAAATTTATTGACTTCGGACTGCTACTGAAAATTTCTTGATAGAAAATTCCAACTACTCACTTTTCGGGATTCGAACCCGGGGTTTCATGCTCTCCAGTCGCGCTAACAACCACTAGACTAGAGAGCCAGTACAGTTACGCTTCTTTACTCTGCTGTGAGACATTCTATCTGCGTACTTAGTGGTTGCAAAACGCAGTTGCATCCTTCTTTATCTTAAGATTATTGCAGGTGCATTGTTAATTCGCTTTTCAATTCAATTTTGTACAAAAAATAATTTCTTCTTCTATCAGAGCTTAGTTCACCGGCCACAGAAGATCAATGCAAAGGGCTGTTGGCTACGGTGGTGAACGGAGTCTGCACATGCCCACCAAATTTCTTCTTCGATGTCAACATGAGGGATTGTGTCAGAGGTAGTAAATAAATAGATTATATATATTATTATTGGGGTATCTATATAATTTTCTCACCTGGTTGGGTTCTATAAATATATAATTATAAATTAAAATGAAAAGATAAATATACATAAATATCAATAAAATAAAATAAATACAAAAACTACATATATAAATAAAAGCCCAACCAGATGGAGGCCCTCGGCAGGGGAGACCAAACGGCCGAGGGTTAGGGGGAAAGGGAAAGAAACCGACGGACGATGCGGGCGGTGTCGAGGAGCAGCGCCTTCTGCATTTGAGCCCGGAGCGGTCCGTCACGGAGTCCCAGTCGCCTCAGATGACCCGAGAGGCTGACTGGGATTAGCCCATTCGCAGAGTTATATTATTATTAATTTATAATTATTATATTATTATTATTACCAATTAATTATTTTGTTTCGTCCAGTGGATATCGTTAGAGAAAAGAGAAACTGTACTTGGAGTTGGAGAGCAGTATCTTCTTGATAATAACATAAAATAATAAGAAATGCGGTTGCCAAGCCGGCCAAGCGTGGTTATTGTGGCAAATATTCTCCCGTGTAACGTCTTACGTCGTCATAAGTCGTCACAAGAAAGCTAGTCAAAAAATCGTGACTGTGCCGTGGACACGGCTGTGTTTTACGTGAATACGCGTACGTGACGTCAACATTTATATTACGGCAATTGTGACGCAGCGAAATGACTTCAAAATGGCGGCGCTCCCCCTCACTCTACGTAAGGAATTCTTATATCATTTAGCTATGGAGTAGCCTATATATCCCACTGCTGGGCGTGGGCATTCTCTCATCTATGAGATGGTTTTAGGGCAAGAAAGTGTACGTCGCACTGACCCAATGCGTGTTGACGAACTTCACATGTCTTTGAAATGTATTTTTTCTCTTATTTCTTAGACATGCAGGTTGCCTCACGATGTTGTCTTTCGCCGCCGAGCACGTTGTAAATCAGCACTTAAATCGCAATTAACAATTTCATTGGTGCCGGCGGGGATCGACACCAGGTTGCTCGCGTACTGTGAAATTTAGGGCGAGCGCTAACCATCTGAGCTATGAAGTAGTGTAATTGGACTTTGGATGTAGATGATGGCTGCTAGATTAAACTGTAATCCCCGATTATGTTATCATCAGTTTGTCTACATTGCCTCCTACTATGGAAGCAAATTAGACGTAAAGAAGACGTATTCGACTCAAAAAGTCGTATGTCTTCTGATAACGGTGCGAGATGTATTAAACATCAGCGATCATCGATCAGTCTGTCAAGCGTGAAATATTAAGGCAAATCCTTCTACGACAGGAGAGGCTCATGAGAGGTGGTGATAGTGAGCTATTACGTGCTGCTGATGATGGAGAAGGAGACCAAATAGAGCAACTCTTAGGTAGAAAATATCCCAGCCACCTAGAACAGCTATTATAAAATCTGTTTTACGTGGTGCAGCCATGCTAAGTTTACATGGTGTAGCCATAAATGCAGCTATGGTTCTAGTATGAATGGGTCGGCTCGACTGGGGATATACCACGCTCTCATACAATACCAGCGTAAAATAACAGCTTAATGCTACTATTTCGCATGGTGCGTCGTGAGGTGAGAACCGGGGACCCTTTTTGCTGGAAACGAGACATTCCATCTTAGTTCTTAAGGGTGATATCACATCTGCATTTTGATACTTCATCGAGGATAAATGTAGTTGTCTAAGGCCCACAGCATCCACTTACCATCAGGTGGACTGTGCACTCATTCATCGTTCTTATTCTATAAAAAAGATGACTATTTTTTATAGGATAAGGGCGACAAACGAGCACACAGTCCTCCTGATGGTAAGTGGATGCTGTGGGCCTTAGACATCTACATTTATCCTCGATTAGGAATCAAAACACAGATGCGTTGTCACCCCTAAGGACTAAGGTGGAATGCCTCGTTTCCAGTAGGATCTCTGGATCTCTACACTCACCATACGAAACACAGTATTATTAAGCTGCTATTTTGCGCTGGTATTCTGTGAGAGCGAGATTTTTCCTCGTTTGAGCCGACCCATTCGTGCGTGTACATTTACTCGACTTTTTATTTCAGTCACACGTCAGTTCTCGGAGTCCTGTATATCTGATCTAAACTGCCACACCTTCGGAGCAGCCTCGCGCTGTGGTCCACCACAGGAGCCTTGGGGCATTAGGACTTGCGAGTGTATACCAGAATTGGCTGTATGGGATTCTAGCAGGGAGATGTGCCGATTGTTCGCTGGTAAGAAATTCTATCGATATTGGGGAGGCTGGTTTTATCACATTTGTGTTTTAATTTGATTTCAGTCGCCTATGTATCTATTTCTTTACATTATAAGTAAATTTGCTGTACTATTGACAATTATGTTGTACATGCCACGAAAGATGATAGACTTCAAACAGAGAAGCTGAGCGTCCAGAACGCTTGGTTCCCCCTCCCCCTTTCTGGAATAGAGAAAAGTACGATAAAGAAATGTAAAAAGAATGGGTCGGCTCGAGCAGAGAAGGACCACACTCTCACAGAACACCAGTATGAAATCCTTCTCCTTAATGCTGCTGTGTTTCGTATGGTGAGTGTATAGAACCGGATACCCGTTTTACTGGAATCGAGGCATTCCGTCTTAGTCTTCAAGGGTGACAACGCATCTGTATTTTGATTCTTAATCGAGGTTAAATGTAAATGTCCATGGGCCACAGCATCCACTTACCATCAGGTGGACTGAGTGCTCGTTTGTCACCCTTATCCTATGATAAAAGACAGAAATGTGTCTATGAATCACAGTATCTACTAACCATCAGAAAAACTTTGTGCTCGTTTGTTACCCTTTAATAAACGACTTCAAATATGAGGAGGTACGCAATTAAACTGTATGATTTTTATGTGTGTTACCTCAGAACTTTCATTAAGGTAAACCGATTTTGATAACTCTTTTTTTATTTGAAAGTTGATACTTCTCGTGTGGTCCCATATAAATTTGATAAAAATCTGACCATTAGTTTCGGAGTCATCCTTAATAATGCGTATTTAATTGACTTCGACTACATTGATGATGTTTTCATTCTATTTATATTGAAGTCGGTTGTAATTTTTTTTTATTTTACTACTTGTTTTAGCAGACAATTTCAAGGTAGTTGCGTTCCTGGCTATAAGACCGTGTGGCAGATTAAGTATCAACCATTCTTGAGCTGACTTCAAATACATTAATCCTTTTAAAATTATTAAATCCTTATTTTATTTATATTGAAGTCGGTTGCATATTTTATATTTAATTTTACCTATGTCTATAAAAAAGTCAATAATTCTTCCCGTATTTAGGCATTTAAAATTCTACTGCTGTATATGTCTATGAGCCTCTCATCTTGTATGACAAATTTGCTTTAATGCTCCGGGCAAGCAGATCACAGTACGTGAGTTCCTTTTGAGACCACCTTTAAACAGTGGTAGAGCCACGCGGCAGCTTTGCTGTCGCACGTATGGGCCGGCTCAAACCGGGGTGGTACCACGACCTCACAGAATACCGGCGTGAAGTGAAAGCTCTGCTTCCGCGTTTCGTCTGGTGAGTGCAGGTGGCTGGAGGTCCAAATCCCCCCCCATCAACATGGTAGCGGAATTAAATGATAGACTACCCCAGGAGGGTACCAGCACCCCTGGAGAATCCCTCGCTGAGCATCCACGACCATGTTTCTCCACTTCTGAGCGTGGGTGCTCAGGCTGCCCCGCGTATTCTGGGGGGGCAATATTCCGCTCAAGACTAAAACTGCTCGGGGCAAACGGAGCAACAAGACCAAGGCGACCCCTGCCACGCTGTCCGTGAATTTCTGCAATATCAGGGGACTTCACTCTAACCTAAACGCTGTCCACTACCATCTCGAGACGGCGAGGCCGGCTCTGCTCTTTCTGACCGAGACGCAGGTGTCCTCTCCGGCTGATGTCTCGTATCTCTCCTACCCGGGGTACAAACTGGAACACTCCTTTGTGCCTCGGGCTGGAGTTTGCGTTTACGTCAGAGAGGACATCTGTTCTCGACGCCTCGGCAGACTTGAAGGTTCGGACCTGTCCATCCTTTGGCTACGCGTAGACAGCGACGACCATCTGCGCGTCTACGGGTGCCTCTATAGGTCCCATAGCGGTAATGCCGAAACAGACCGACTCTTCGACCACGTCCAAATGGCTGCAGATTCGTTGCTACAGCAGATCCCCTCCGCAGAGATCGTGATCCTCGGCGACTTTAACGCCCATCACGCCGAATTGCTCGGTTCACGTTTAACCGATCATGCGGGGAGATCTGTTCATGATTTTGCCTTGGCATATGGTCTGACACAACTGGTTACTTCGCCTACACGGATTCCAGATGTGGAGGATCATGCACCTTCCCTGTTGGACCTTCTGCTGACCTCTCACCCGGACGGATATCAGATTTCCGTCGATGCCCCTTTAGGCTCCTCGGATCATTGTCTTGTCCGGTGTGTGGTGCCATTCACGCTGAAATCGCAGTTGCATTGTGCAGGCTGCCGCCGTGTTTGGCACTATAGGTCAGCCGATTGGGATGGGATGCGGTCTTTCTTTGCATCCTACCCTTGGGGGCGGGTTTGCTTCTCGCCGGACGATCCCAACGTTGTTGCGGATTCTGTCGCTAATGTGGTACTTCAGGGTATGGAACTTTTTATTCCTTCCTCTGTGGTGCCCATTGGAGGCAAATCTCAGCCATGGTTTGGTCGCTCCTGTAAAATAGCATCATGCTATAAGCAGGAGTGCTACCGAGCCTGGGCTGACGCATCAGCGTCCAGGGATGTAAACACCAGCGCTCTAAAAAAAGAAGTATAATTCCGCCTCTAGGTCCTTCAAAAGAGTCATTGCCAAGGCTAAGTCAGAGCACATAGGCAGAATTGGCGAGAGACTAGTTCGTCTTCCTTCTGGAACCCGTGCATTCTGGTCTCTCGCCAAGGCTGTCCAGGGGAATTTCTGTCAGCCATCTCTTCCATCTCTGCACAGGGAGGACGATTCACTGGCCCACACCGCAAAGGAGAAAGCCGATCTTCTAGGCTCTTTCTTTGCGTCTAACTCGACTCTCGATGACGGGGGAGTACGCCGCCGACCATCCCGCGGTGTGAGTGCTCCATGCCGGAAGTGCAGTTCACTCAGCGCTCGGTTCGCAAAGCACTCCTCTCCGTGGACATCCATAAGTCGAGTGGGCCTGATGGAATCCCCAATTGTGCTGAGGACGTGTGCTCCAGAGTTGGCACCGGTTTTAACGCGTCTTTTCCGGTACTCCTACTCCCTAGGCGTAGTCCCAAAATCATGGAAGACGGCTTTCGTCCACCCGATCCCTAAAAAAGGCGACCGCTCAGACCCGTCCAACTACCGGCCTATCGCCATCACCTCCTTGTTCTCCAAAACAATGGAGTCCATTGTAAACTGCCGGCTCATGAGGTACCTTGAGGATCACCAGCTGATTAGTGACCGCCAATACGGTTTTCGCCGTGGTAGGTCAGCTGGTGATCTTCTGGTCTACCTAACTCACAGATGGGCGGAGGCAGTAGAGTCCAAGGGGGAGGCATTGGCCGTTAGTTTGGACATTGCGAAGGCCTTCGATCGGGTTTGGCACAAAGCGCTTCTTTCGAAGCTCCCTTCCTACGGGCTTCCCGAGAAATTGTGCAATTGGATCACCAGTTTTCTTGCAGATCGGAGCATCAAGGTCGTTGTAGACGGTGCAAGCTCCGATTGCAAGCTTATTAATGCTGGTGTTCCACAGGGCTGCGTGCTATCGCCAACGCTGTTTCTTCTGCATATCAATGATATGTTGCAAACCCGTAGCATTCATTGCTATGCAGATGACAGCACTGGTGATGCTCTTTACACCGGCCGAGCCAATATTTCTCGGGAAAACGTCTCTGAGTGCCGGGACAAACTTGTGTCTGAAGTCGAGTCTCTGCTGGACAGAGTCTGAGGCTAAAAAAGCTAAAAAGCTTGGCGTGCTCAGCAGAGCGGGACAGTATTTCATGCCGGCACACCGCCTGCAACTTTACAAGGCGCAGGTTCGGCCGCTCATGGAATACTGTTCCCATCTCTGGGCTGGGGCTCCCCAGTACCAGCTTCTTCCACTTGACCGCATCCAGCGCAGAGCGGCTCGAATCGTCGACGACCGAGTGCTTTCCGATCGGCTCGATTCACTGGCGTTGCGAAGAGATGTTGCATCTCTTTGCGTATTTTATCGCATCTATCACGGGGAGTGCTCTGAGGAATTGTTCGGATTAATCCCAGCCGCCAAATTTCGTGAACGCACTACACGGCAAACGTCCCGATACCATCCACACCATCTGGATGCTTGGCGGTCCACCACTGTACGTTTCAAAAGGAGTTTTCTTCCGCGTACAACCTCTCTGTGGAATAATTTACCACCGGTGATTTTTCCGGACCGATACGACCTGGGGACCTTCAAGAAAAGAGCTTACTCCTTTCTAAAGGGCCGACAACGCGCCTGCAATTCCCCTGGTGTTGCGGTTGATTTACATGGGCGGCGGTAGTCACTTAACATCAGGTGAGCCACATGCTCGTTTGCCCCCTCTTCTATAAAAAAAAAAAGACCAGAAGTCTCGCAACTTCGACCGAAAGTTACTGGATTTGATTCTTGTTACAATTGTACGAGCAGACAAAATTTTTAAAAATTATTATTTATGTCTAATAGCAAACAAATAACCCACTGAGCTTAAAATAAGTCTGTTAATTCAATATCACAGACAGACAATTCAATTTTATTTATATATAAAGATTTATAATGATTTCTTAAACCAGCAAAAAATCCATCTTCTTTATTGAAATTAGGATGTTTTTTAATTTCAATAGAGATTTAATAAACCACAAATCCTTTCAAAAGAACATCGATTCCTACCAAGGATGATTCGCGAAGCTATTAAAATTAAAAAAAAAAACATCTTAATTTCAATAGAGAAAATGGGTGGGTGCAGCCATCTGCTTGGGATCCTATAATTAACAAAACTAAATCCAAAACCAAGCATACCACTGAAAGACTTCAAGATACTGTAAACTCGTTCTGCGTAGATCGGACCAAAAATTAATATTCAAAAACTGAAGGTTAGCCGGACTAACTATGACATTGGGACGTCAAACATCTCAGTCCCCCCCGTGACCATGGGTGTTGTAAAGCACCCGAAACATCGGGAATTAAAAAAAAGTTAATTAAACGCGATAAAAATCCGTATAAATAATTTTATTCAGTATATAAAGATTAATAATCAGTAACGATTGCCTTTTTTTAAAGTAGCAAGATCGTTTTTCGAAACGTTTTTACTGGGTCGAAATCGAAAAGGAGAATTAAAATCTGTCAGAGATATTAAAAATTAGTTTTAATCAAGCTTCCTTTATTGGCTAATTACCGACCTATATCTCTTGCCACTGTTGTGGCCAAGGTATTTGAGCGTTTGATTCAAGCCAAAATTACACCCTACATGTCCATTGACGATGGTCAGTTTGTTTTTCGACCAGATCTATCTACTGATATGGCTATTTTTGCCTTAAAACAAGTAGTAAATTACTACGAGTATATACTAGTATATATATGCTTTCTTGATTTGAGTCGCGCTTTCGACACCTTGAATCATGATCTGCTATGGAAGAAGCTAAGATCTAATAACGTTCCTGCTAGTATTGTTGACCTGCTCACTTATTGGTATAAGAGACAGATCAATAATGTAAAATGGTGTGACTCACTGTCCGATGGATACTCGCTGACTTGTGGAGTAAGGCAGGGGGGCTTACCTCACCCGACTTCTTTAACATCTATGTGAATGACTTGATCGTGGAGCTGAGCAGAACTCCAGTCGGACTTAGGCTTGGCAACCGTTATGTTAACAGTAGTACAACAGGTAACAGGTAGAGCCATGCTGCAGTTATATTAGAAGTATAGTTGTAGCACGAATGGGTCGGCTCGACCGGGGAAGGACCACGCTCTCACAGAATACCAGCGTGAAATAGTAGATTAATGCTGCTGTATTTCGTATGGTGAGTGTAGAGAACCGGAGACCCTTTTTGCTGGAAATGAGGCATTCCATCTTAGTCCTCACGGGTGACAACGCATCTGCATTTTGATTCGTAATCGAGGATAGATGTGGATGTCTATGGGCCATAGCAACCACTTACCATCAGGTGGACTGTGTGCTCGTTTGTCACCCTATCCTATAAAAAAAAACGCGACGAAAAACGCTGACGATATGGTTCTGCTCAGCCCTACAATCAAAGGTATGCGGAAATTAATATCCATATGCGAAAAATTTGCTAAAGATAATAGTTTAATTTATAACGCAAAAAAGACTGAGATGGTGATTTTTAAGGCGGGCAAGGGCCCAACTAATGTACCTGAGGTGCACGTGGCGGGTCAACCGGTTAAAATAGTTCAAACGTTCAAATACCTCCGTCACATAGTGACAACGAATAGAAAAGATGATTGCGATATAGAACGACAGAGAAGAGCTTTGTCTGTCTGTGGCAATATGATTGCTAGGAGGTTTGTTAAAGCCTCCAAGGAGATTAAGATTATGCTCTTCCAAACGTACTGTCAGTCTTTCTACACCTGCCTGCTCTGCACTGAATATCCGGGGCGATCTTTGAATGGTATTCGTGTGCAATATAATAACATCTTTAGAATGCTAATGGGTCTCAAACGCTATTGCAGTGCTTCAGGCATGTTTGCCGAAGCACGAATTAATACGTTTAATGCCATTCAAAGATTCTGAATCGCATCATTCATGTCCAGGGTTGGTGAGTGTAGAAACAGAATAATTAGTGAGTTTGCGGAAAGACTGGCCACAGCCTTTTATCAAAAATGGCTTAAGATAGCTGCTTGACGTGATGGTTCCCTCCATTTAGACTTAGATATTATTATAATATAATTATTTTTAATTTTTAGTAATTCTGTACTGCATTGTCTTTTTTTTTTGTTGGTAATTTATATGGGTGATATGTGCCTGAAATAAAGAGAATTTATTTTTATTTATTTATTTTATTTATTTCTTGTTTACAGGTCTAGGAGAAACATGTGAAGTGGACAGTGACTGCCTGGCCGGAGAGTTGGAGATCCAATGCGTGAAGGATCAAGCTGGACAAGGCTACTGCACTTGCCCTGAGGGGCTGGAGGCTGTGGACGGGCTCTGTCTGACAACAGGATTAGGTAATGTCACAGCTTAAAGACCTTTTACCGTTTTTGCAAATTGACAATTTACAATCATCTTGTCGTCAAGATTAGTCTGTATTCTTTAGCAAAACTGAACACTGTGGATTCTGTCAAAGAGGTTTTTCTCAGCGACTGTTTTACGTAGATAACTAAGAATTGGCATATTATGAGATGCGTAATTGTTAGGCTTAATGCATAGTTATGGGGGGTCATGAGAATTTAACAATATTTTTTTGCGATTATTGTTTCGGGTATTATTATATTAGTACTACTGTCTGATACCTGCTCGCTTCGCTGGGCGCACGATAACAGACGATAATAACGTAAAAATAAAATATCAAGATTAAATTTTGGCGGGACTATCGTAAAATGCGGTTTAAGTGAGCGTTAAAATTGCGAAATGAGTATATATTTAAAATAAACAAATTGCTTCAGGCAAAAAACAATAACATCAAACCATGAATCTTTCTCACATAATTCAATCACATCCCGTTTTTAGATTGTTGTCATTAATTGCCATTCTTTGAATAGTATAATTTATAATATAGTATACTAAATTTCAAGTCAATCGGGTGTATAGTTTTAGAGATATCGTGATGGTATAAAGATATACAGATTAAAAGCAATTTGGTTTCGAGAGTAAAAAGAGATAAAATATCTGGTTATTGATAAGGGTTTAGTGTTTTTACCATTCTGCCGAAAACCATTACTTAGGTAAGAAAGGTTTTTACTATTTTTTGATAAGTTTAGGTAGGGTTTTTACGAGGTTTTGATATTGGACAACCGCTATATTCACTCAAATCTGCTGAAACAGGCAACCGTTAAAAACACTCAAAGCAAATTCCCAATGTGTCGCGTCAACGTATTGTGATAAAATTTTGAAACAAATTATATTAAAAGATGATTTCTTTTTTGAATTTACTTGACACTGGCTAAAGTTCTCCAGTACGAGCCCATACTTAAGAAAAAAAAAAACATACAATTAATTTTACAGAACCATTTTTTGCACCATAGGCTACAATGACCTCTTACCATCTAGTGGACTGCACGTCTGTTTTATAATATTTCAATTAATATGTGTTTCTAGAGCTTGGCGAGACTTGCCAGGTGAGCGCAGAGTGTACCGGCACTCAGCACACTGTCTGTGAAGGAGGAAGGTGCTCCTGCGGAGATGGCTATCAGGAGACTGGTAACATTTGTGCACCTGGTAAGTGGGTAACACCATGAATCTGTTCGGGAAAATTGTATTTATAAACCTGCGTTTTAGTTTTAATTTCTTTTTGAATGAAGAAAAACGTTTCTTTCTATTTAAGTTAAGAATACAGAACAAAATATTAAAAAGTACAGTTACCGTTAAAGTTTATTAAAGTCTACTGGTGGACATAGGGCTCCCCCATAGATAGTCTCTTAGGGGGGATATTTGCCATAGTTACTATGCTTGGCAAGCGGGTTGGCAACCGCTGTTTTTATTTTTAGTCGTTATTAGGAAGATACTGCTGCTCATCCTCTAATTTGTCCCCTCTGACGGCTCTTACGACAGCCACGGGATGATATGGGACAGTGGATAATCTTACCCCGCCACTACATAGTTCACATGAAAACCAAATAGGTAATAGAAAAAATACAAGTAAAATGCCGTGTTGAATATATAAGAAATACACAAAATCCTGGGCTGCTAAGTTGGTGGGGTTTTTGTCAAGGTACTATTCACCGATAGCAAAAACGAATGGTATTTGGTTCCAGGGGGGGGGGGTTTACAGGATCGTTTTAAGATGGGTTCCGAATCATGCGGGTATTGTAGGCCGGAACTTGCCGATAACCTCGCACGGGAGGTCTCAAATAGTACACAATTTGGACCCGAGCCATTTGGTGGAATCTCAAGAAGCCTAGCCCGATTGACCCTTGAAACTCTTTATCACAATAAATCACTTAAGATCTGTTCTGATACGTAGGTCTTACAACTTAAAACCCTTATCAGGGCTTATGATCGTAAATTCGCTTCAGAAGCCCTGGGATTAGGTAAGAATAAACTGCGTATTGTGGCAAGAGCCCTGACTGGACAATTTTGTCTTATAATGCACATGTTTATCTTGGGACTAAAGAACTCAAGGATGTGCCGGTTCCGTTCCTTAATGGAAGAAACGCCTTTGCACATCTTGACTAATACTTAACTAAACTACGTACTTCGTCCAGAAGAAGTGAAATCGCTAACAGCTTAGTAACTCCTTCTATTTACTGAAGACATAGGGCTTAGCAACAGTAGCAGTACCCATAGCGGCGATCATAAAAGATCTTTTAGGTCGCAGTGATTCTAGTCTTTTTAGACATGCATAGCTGCTCGCACAACAAAAAAGTATAACTATAGGCTGTGAAACATTCCATCTTAATTCCATACCCACTTTATAAAACAAAGTCATTTCTCTCAAGAAATCTTAGAATTATACAGATGGCTGGCTGCCCCCCCCCCCTCCCATTCCCTAGGAAACCTCCCTAGCTTAGTCCTCCGGGTCGAAAATGCATCTGTTGCATCTTTCAAAATTGGCTGCAGATATAAATAAACACTTATGATGGAATGGGTTGTTAGTTTCTTTGTCATTTAAATATTTAAAAAAAAAAAACAATATCGCTTTTATGCGACATTTTTATTACCTCCCATTTTTCTTTGTTTGTTTTTTTATCCGTTCGGTGTAAATTTTCAGTCGATTTTAATCAACTTTCCTATGAGCTTGTGACTTAAACTCTCTTGATTGCTTGTTGGTTTGTCTGTTTGGTATAAAAAAGCTGCACTGCAGCCATAATATGGTTGCAGCACGAACTGGTGGTTTCCACTGGATGGACGACGCTTTCATGGAATACAAGCGTAAAATAGCAGCTTAATGTTGCCGTGTGTCGTGTAGAGAACCGAAACACTTTTTATTGGTAACTTAGTCCTCAGTGGTGACAACGCGTCTGCATTTATATTACTAATCGAGGAAAGTGGATGTCTTTGAGCTACAGTACCTGCTTACCACCAGATGCAATGCGATTTGTACTAACTTCCCGAACTTACTTTAAACCAAAGTATATAAATCCATATGTCTTTATTATACTGTGCTTTAAACATAGGTCAGAACTGGAAGAAAACCTGTAAAAATGATCGCCATTTTGAATTATGATTATTACAGTTATCGGCGGTACCTGCAACCAGGACTCGGACTGCGCGATCCCGGACACAGTTTGCCAGGATAATGACGGCTCACTCACCTGCCAGTGTAAGGACGCATTCGTGGAATATAACGACGAATGCTGGCTAGGTTAGATTTTTTTTTAATTGCGCATTAACTGTAGAAGGATTTTCTTGTTCAGACTATGCAAGTCTACCGAAAACATATCCAGGTAATATTATTTACATGTATTCAAAAACGCATATAGAAACCATTTCTATTAAAAAATAGATGATTATTTTAAAGATATCAATGTTTGGATGCATACATTTTATATTTTATAAGGTTAAATTGTAACTGCTGAGCTTTTCACTTTGAAAAAGCTTTTACAATTACCAGTTTTGAATAAAAGTATTTTGTCAACTTTAATTCTTAACTTTTAATTATTGAACTTTCAATTGTTGAAGGTTAAAGTAAAAAGTTAAAGTTACAGCCTATATACGTCCCACTGCTGGGTACAGACCTCATCTCATTCTTGAGAGGGTTTTAGGGCAAGGAAATGTGGCGGGCACTGCCCCAATGTGTTTTGACAAAATGGATTGAAATTATTGAAGGAAGTCTTTATTAACTATGACATCAGGAAGTCAAACATATTACTCCACCCGTGACCATGGGTGCTGCGTCCGTGCATGAATGCTCAAATTGAATCTTTGGGAATTAAAAAGATAAAATTATACGCATTAAAATCCGTAAAATTTGTTTTAATTCATAATTTGAGAGTCATATGTGAGCTCAGACAAGTTTGTCCTGTAGTCTCTTACGATGCCTTCTTAGTGAAAGTACTTTATCTAAAACCGAATCGCATATCATATTCTGAGAATATGACTTCCAAGATTAGGAACTTAAATATTTAGTGACCAATATTTACAAGGTGCCACACTTTCTTTCTTCTATTTATTTTATATATTTTCGTGTATCTCTAGAATCTGTTTTATCCACAGAATCCGAAGGCTACGGCACCTCGTGCAACGTAACCGCACAGTGTACGCAAGTTCTCGGCACGTATAGTAGCTGCATAGATGGGCGCTGTGAGTGCAGTCCATCTTATCATTACAAAGATGGTAGTTGCTGGCCCATGACCGGTAATTATTTATAATACGTCTCTCTCTATATGTAATACATACCACTAAACGACTTTATTACACAAATATAACTAGGTGTAACTACAATACTTCAGTGTATGGATTCTACGCCTACATCTAATCCGACCTTAATTAGGTCCTTCGAGCCGGATAATGATATTACGTAGCAAGTAATCACTTCAGTGATCGTCACTGTACTGCTTGACTGTGTATTTCAGTTGGCAGACCTTTTATGAGGTGGTAGAACCACCCTGCATCTATATTATGGTCGCATGAATGGAATTACACTAACAGAATATTCTCTTTACCCTTTTTAACCAGAGACCCTATTACTGGTAATGAGTCATTACATCTTTTTCAAAAATAGATGTAGGTGTCTAAGGGCCACAGTAACCTCTTACCATCAGTTGGACTGTCTATGCTCGTTTGATCCTTATTCTATAAAATCCATATTTAACATATCACTGATGTATCAGTATCAACATTAAGCTGCTGTTTCACGCTAGTTTTATGTGCTTTTTTTCATTGAAAGTACTTTAAAATATCCTGGATTTTTATTAGAAGGTTGACTTTGTTCTTGGAGTTACAAACATATACTTCTTGTCATTAATAAAAAGGGATATGTCCCGCAGGACAGTGTTTAGCAGGGGGAACTAAGCTGCGTATTGATGTTAAGATCTTGTATATGTAGAGTCATGGAGATTCTTCGACATCATATTCTCAAAGCGGTTTTACTGATAACCATACAAAGGTTTCCACAGGGTTGCGTTCTTGGTCCGTCTATATTACCAATGATATAATTCAACGTCCCATCGAATACAGTATTAATGTAAATATTCCTTTTCAGGTCTTTTTGAAGCTTGTAGCCGTAGCAGCGAGTGTTTCCTGTTGAATATGACGGATAGAGTGGTGTGCAGGAATGGTCTTTGTCAGTGCGATTTCAACTTCCCGTATTCGGAAGAGTTACATACATGTAGTAAGTAGAAATTGAGTGCTTTTTATTCAATATTATAAATATTACTCATTGCAATTAATTCTTGTTTAATTAACCACTACATCGGAAAAGAACTCTGTCCTGGGAAGAACAAGCAAGAAACCGAGCGGGAGATTTTTTATTTAGGTTTTAGTATTGTGGCGATATAACCATCCTCTAACCGTTACCGTTAGAGCCTATTAATATCCCCTGCTGAATATAGCCCTTTTTTTTTGCGGATGGAAAATCATCTAATGACGCCTTTCGCTCTGGGTAGAGCGTAAGGGAGTGTCAGACTTTTACTGACTAAAAACCATCCGTGTTCCTTCAGTGCCCTTACGTTCCGGAGCCGCGGTATCTCTTTCGAACAGCCCGCAGCCCCGGCAGTGCTGAATATAGCCCTGCCCCATAAATTGCATCATGGGGGGATATTTGCCATAGTTACAACGGCAAGCGGTTGGCAACCGCAGTTTTTTATATTTTATGTCGTTATCAGGAACACGATGCTGCCCATCTCCCGATTTGTTTCCCGTCTCCCGTGGGTGTCGTCTGACGTGTTGTAATGGGGAAGTGGATATCCTTACTACGCCGCTACACAGTGATCGTTAACACTAGTCATAAATACGCAGACCAGCATTAATGGAAAATAAATTCTCTAACTGAAAAGTCCCATTACCGGCAGTAGACTTCTAGCTACTGTTGATGATGAAAAAGAATACTTGTATCTTAGATAGATGATAGTGCTATGCAGCGGTTTTCGCCCATGAGGACTCCATGTCATCCTAAGTGTCGTAAAGGACGACAGAGGTAAACAAACCATGAAATGGGGGCAGCATCTTTCTGCCAACCCACCAAGCGTGACAACAAAGTCAAAATCTTATGAATAAAATCATTTCTCCTTAGTAGTCCATCTGGATAAGTACCTCCTTCGTAACTATCTATGTTGCCCAAATAACATTGAACTTGTATTCTGGTCTGAAGGGAATAGAGAGCCAGGATTATTACAGGCTCTTAGTATTTCAGGCGCTCAGGTATGAAGTTAGCTGCAGGTGTCCATGGACTGTGGTTACTCCTTTGTTATAGAATAAGTGTGAGCTGTGGTAGCTCAGGTGGTTAACGCTCGCTGTAAATATAACAGAACGCGAGTAACCCGGGTTCGATCCCCGCCGGCACCAATGAAATTGTTAATTGCTATTTTAAGTGCTGATTTTAACTGCTCGTGAAGTGAAGCTCCTGCGGTGAAGGAAAACATCGTGAGGAAACCTGCATGTCTGAGAAATAAGAAAAAAAATATTAAAAATATTAAAAAAAAGACATGTGAAGTTCGCCTACACGCATTGGGGCAGCGCGGCGGACACTTCCTTGCCCTGAAACCCTCTCAGAAATGAGGGGAGGCCTGTGCTCAGCAGTGGGACGTATATAGGCTGTAACTTTACTTTACTTTACTTTAAGTGTGACAAACGAGCACACAGTCCACCTGATGATTAATGGATGCTGTAACCCATAGACATTTACATATATCTGCCCTTTGTATCATAAGACAACCAGAAAGTTCCTCACCCATTAGTTGTCGACTTTTACACACTCTAAGCAAAGGGTTACTTCGTTTTTCGCAACGCATCAAAGGAGTTATAATTTGCCAGCTTCTATCTCTTCATTTGATTACACTATGGGTGTGAGAACTAAGATGGAATGCCTCGTATCCAGTAAAAAGAGTCTTCGGTTCTCTACACTCACCATACGAAACAGCTGCTTTCCACGGTAAAGGCGACCCATTTGTGCTAAAACTTTTATAAGCTGCAACATAGCTCTACCGCTTTCTGTCAGGTGGACTTTAATTTCGTTAAGTCAAGTCATTTCAGATTTATAAAAAAAATTACTCTGTAATTTGATATCGTGAGCGTGGATTTTTCCCAATCAAATCGATCCATTCGTGCTCTAACACGTATAAAATAGTATATTTTAATTTATATATATTTTCTGTTACAGCATCTTCGGCATGGAGAACAACAATCAGCTTCATAACTATAGCTACATCTTTAATATATTTTGTTACTAGTTAACACTGACAGTTTTATTTAAATTAACTTTTGAATAATAAATATAAAGAGATAATTTATTGCTTAAATTTGTTCTTTTGTATCCTTTTTTTTCTGAATTTATATATTATATATATATATATATATATATATATATATATATATATATATATATATATATATATATATATATATATACTTTTATAATAATTTAATTTACGATCATCAATTCAAGGCTCATGTCCAACAGTTGACCTTTGTAGCCTGATGAACAAAAAGAACACGCAATTGTTAGCTCATTTATAATTAAAAATACCTAGGTACTAATCATTGAGCTATTATGTACTACGTACTAGAGGAGACCCTGCGTTCAGCTACTCTGTTCCACTCAACTGCGGTGCATGCACCGCACTTTTATTAGTCACTCGCTAGGCGCTTGTAGTGTTGTCACATGTTGTGTTGATTTAAAAAAAATCTCTTGATAAAAATATGCCGTCTTGTGTACTTAGGTATTGCACAAATAATTCAAGAAATGTCAGTAAAAACCAAGGAATTACTTTTCATCGGTTAATAAGATACTTAATCAATAAAAAAGTATTATAAATTAATAATAAAACAAATTATTCCTAAAAAGCCATCTCGTATTATGGATTATAGATTATGAAATTAATATGTTCAGATGCGACATTGCTGTGGGTACTTAAGTATGGGACGAATATATTTATTATACACATTTTTTGTGGAAACATATATAAGTTATTATAATTAGGCTAAATTTTTCATGTTTAAATCTGCTTATTATTCTTTTATTTAATTTTTAGGCCACAAGTCAAAGTGGAATAAATTCGTCCATTTTTAACTCTCGCGTGCCCAGCATTTATGAACGATTATTTACAACATTTCTGATTCTAATTTAAATAAATATATTTGTAATTTAAATTTTATGTTAATAAGTTTTGTTAAACATACATTTAGTACGTTTTTTTATATGTGACATAGAT